TTAATATGTCAAAGCTATTCTAGGTTGTGGCTGTCCAAGTGAATTCTTTTCTTTTCAATAGTTTAGTGAGGGGGGGCTGTGGCTGTCCAGGTATTTCCCTATTCAGTTGGATTACATTAGGGATCGACTTTAAGCCCAAATTTTTTTTTTAGTTTAGTTATGGATGCTCGTACTGGTTATTTACAGGAGGATGTAACTTGGTGTATGCTTTTGATTGATGATATCCTTCTTGTTGATAAGATTAGAGAAAGAATGCATGGAGAACTTCAATTATGGTAGTCTACATTGGAGTCTAAAGGGTCTTCGTTTGAGTAGATCTAAAACTAAATTCTTGTAATGTAATTTTAGTAGTAGTAGTAGCTCTAATGGTAGACTTCTAACTATGGGTGATCAAATCATTAAAATGTGTTAATGTTTTAGATATCTCGGGTATGCTGTTGATATAGATGGGGATGTTATTTGTAGAATTCAAGTTGGTTGAAGTGGAGGAATGCATCGGCCCTATTGTGTGATAGAAAAGTACCGCTTAGAATTAAAAGGAAAAAAAAATATAAGATGGTGGTGAGATCTGCAATGCTTTATGGCGTAGAATGTTGGCTTTTAAAAGAGAAGCGTAAACAAAGTTAAGCGTTTGCCAAGCTGAGAATGACTGGGTGGATATGTTCAGAAGAAATGAAAGCAAACTTTTATTAAGCACAAAAATAGGGGATACGACATGCCACAAGTTGGAAAGGAATATACAATAATACTAAACTTCGGATGGGACTGGAAGAGAAGAATCGAGGGCAGTGGTGGCGTTTGCAAAATGTAGGGGGCAGGGAAGGCCGAGTGGATGTATGGTGGGTTAGAAATGGGTTTGGTGGCTGTAGGAATGGAGGAATGCATCGGCCTATTGTGTGATAGCAAATTACCGCTTAGAATTAGAAGGAAAAATTTTATAAGATGGTGGTAAGATATGCAATACTTTATGGCGTAGAATGCTGGCCTTTAAAAGAGAAACGTAAGCAAAGGTAAGTGTTTGATACCGAAACTAGTTCAGTATTCAGAAGAGACGAAAACAAACTTTTATTAAGCACAGAAATAGGGGTTACGACATGACAGGAGTTGGAAAGGAAAATACAATAATACTAATATTCAAATGGGGCTGGAAGAGAAGATCCGAGGGCAGTGGTGGCGTTTGCAATGGATTTGGTGGGCTGTTGTACACCTACCCAAAAAATTGTTTTAACTTGCTGATTGATTGAGGCGCTGTCCAACTTACGATTGCTTGGATCTTTAATGGATCCATTTGAATGCCTATGCTGGGCATGATGTAGCCCAATTAAACATACTTGGTTTGTGTTGAAGTGACATTTCTTGGGGTAGGTGTACAATTGTTCAGGTCGTAGGACCTCGAATACAACCGAAGTTTCGCAGACGGTCCTCTTCTAATCTACTGCAAACCAAAATATCATCAAATTAGACCACCATAAAATTCCCGATGTGGGCTCGAAAGACTTGATTCATCAGCTGCATGAAGGTGCTAGGTGCGTTGGATAGGCCGAAAGACATAACTGTCCATTTGTAGAGTCCATCTCACATTTTGAAAGCGTTCTTCCACTCGTCTCCTAGACACATTCTTATCTGATAATATCCACTGTACATGTCGATTTTTTAGAAGACAGTGGCTCCGTACAACTGATCTAAAGAGATCGTCGAGGCGTGGTATGGGTAAACAATATTTGATGCTAATTTTTTTAATGACACGACTGTCAATGCACATCCGTCATGAACCATCTTTATTGGGTACTATAGGGGCAGGGACGATACATGGACTAGTGTTTTCTAGGACTATTCTCTCGTAACAAGATTCCACACCTAACGTTTAAGCTCCTTGTATTCTGCGGGTTGCAATCTGTAAGCGGGGCTTTTTGGTAATACTGATCTTGGTATGAGATCTGTGGGGTGTTGGATGACCCTTATTGGTGGTAGACCGTCTGGACGGTTGTCGGTTATGATGTCCTTGAAGTCGTTTATGAGCGGTTGTAGACATGTGGGTATCTCTCTTTAGGTGTAGGAACCTTCTAGGAGGACAAATGCAAGGGCCATTGGTGCGTCTTGAATCGACTGTAGGAAGGTGGCTCGTGAGACTAATGAGTCTTCTATGTCAATTACACCCTTCACATTCATGATAGGTAGTAACATGATCTGCTTTCTATCTTTTTTATATGTGTAGGTGTTTTTGAAGTCGTCGTGTATCTTCTGGTCAAATTGCCATGGTCGTCCTAGTAGGATGTGATAAGCATCTATCGAAACCACATCACACTAAACTTGCTCTTGTAGCTGATCTTCGTTTGAGAATTCAACTAAGCATTGTTGATTGACGCGTAACTCGTTCCCTTTTTTTAACTAGGTGAGAGAGTAGGATCACAAATGTTTGTGTGAGACTAATCCCAACTTTTGCATCATTAGTGTGGAGACAACATTTTCAATACTGCTATTGTCGATGATGAAACTGCAAATTTTATCTTTTACCGTGCACGGATGCAGAAGATGTGTGTGGTAGCCATGACGAATATTGTTCTGGTTTTGATTATAGGATCTTCTGTATGACAAGCATTTTGCCTTCGTCTCCTGGAAGTTGAAGTGCTTCTTGTTTGAACTATCCTCCGCCTTTGCTTCCTCTATTGCTTCGACGACGCCTTCTTCAGTGAACGAGCGATTCAGTTTGTGGGACAGTGGGCTGTGATGTGGCCGCAATCGAGGCACTTGAAACACTTTTGTGTTGAAACAATTCCAGATGAACTGCCCCTTTTTGGCTTCGTGTCATTCGGGGTGGTATTCTCTCTGTCTGATATTGATTTGCCCGCTCCGTAAGTGGTCTTATTGGCTGCCGTAACTGTTGGTGATGGTTTGAAGGTTGACTACTGTCGGAAGAATGATTGATACTTAGCCTACTTTTGACGTCATTCTACCTTTAATGCTAAGGTTGGACATCGCTCAACAACCAATAGGGTTGTAGTTGCACGATGTTGATGGTGGGTTTTGGGCCCCCCAAATAGCACGCGATCATGTGCTTTTTTTGTTTGACTAACTCACACTGCATTTGTAATTGGTCAAACTTCACCGTGAACTCCTCGACTGAAAGGTCTCACTGTTGTAGGTTGTGGAACTTAAGGAACATGCCTTGGCGGTAGTAGGGTGGTAGGTTTTTTTATTTATTTTGCATTGCTTTCTTCATTTTTGCTCACTGAGTGATCGTCTTGTTTGTGTTGTCGCTGCAGATTTTCCCATCATGAGACATTTTTTTAATTTGATAGCGACTAGTTTAACACGTTTATCCTTCGGAATCTCCTCGCATTCAAAGATGCGTTCGACCACTTGTAATCAGTTAATAAAATCATCGGGATCCATGTTTCCTTCGAACTCAGATAGGTCCGATTTGATGCCGAACAAGGGCTCCTCTCGTGGTCTCCGTTGATAGTGAATGTCGAAGCGGGTCGATATTCATCGTACTGATCTCTTCGCGGTGAAATCGGTGAAATGGATTTAGATTGTCGTCACGGTCTCCTCTCCGACTCTCGATATCGCGGTCAAGGGTAATGTCGTCTTGTGTCCCGTCGTCGATCTCAACCAGTCGTTGTTGTAGGCTACGAATCTCCCGTTGTATTTCTTCCCGGGTCGGGCCTGGTGCATATTGATATGGTGACATGACTGGGTGTGATTCAGAAAGAGTCAAAAGAAAGGATAAGACAAAAAAAGATAGAAAAAGTAAGAAAAAAAATGGGTTGGGGCGGATACTGAAATACCTTAGACTAGGACTGTGGTTGGAGTAGCTCTGATACCAAATGATACCAGAGTTAACTCAAACCACGATACAAAATGACATTTTTATTGCTGATTTCTAAAACGAGTACAAGTTCGACGCGACAACAACAATAACAAAACACAAATATTGATAATGCGAGTCGCCGAAAAGAAAACAAAGTAAATAAATAGTAAAGGACAAAAATAACCATCTCGAGTGGGCATCAATGAGGGTCACTAACAAAGCAACGAACAACCGGGGTGAACTAGGAGGTGGTCTGCGGTCCATCTGTGGTGATGTGGGGGATCCACAACACAGTTGTGGCGAACAGGAGGTGACTCGCGGCTCGTCTATGGTGCAGGATGGATCTGCGATCGGCTGAGAGGCGACCAAAGACGGTAGTGCGATCCGTCTGTGATGTTGGCGGGAGCTGCGATCGACTGAGAAGCGAACAAGGAAGATAGTGCGGCTCGTCTGTGATGCTGACGAGAGCTATGGTCAACTGAGGCAAGTGGAAGCAGGAGCAACAACTTCCTTGTGCAGAGTAGAGCGTTGGTCACTGACGGGACAAAGCAGAGATATAGCTGTAGCACCACTCGCCAAAGGATACAACCCTCGAGGGATCGCCAGGTAGTCACAATTGAAATCAAAAATTAACAAAACAACAACTGATTAGTCCTAAGAATAGAACATGCATAAATAGGGAAGAAGGGAGACGACCAAGGCAAGATCCTAACAAAGGAAGGAGGTGATGAATGGAAGGGATTGTAGAGGCGATTGCAACGACTAGGAGAAGAGGCGGAAGAGTAGGGCATGGGGGGAGCATGGGCGAATCGAGCATGGGAGGAGGAGGGGCGAAACTTTTTTGAGATTGTACATATCCATTCCAGCTTGAAGGCTGGACCGGCTTCCTGTTGCGCCTGGTTTGACAAGCTGTAAGCAGCCCCCCGCGTCACTCTCTCCTGCATATATATTTAAGATTATTGCTTTCTACTTTTCAAAATTATTTATTCATTTACTATCCAAAATTTAATCATGTAAACTCGTTTCAATCAGGATTGTTCTATGTATTCAGATGCTGCTTTTAACCAATCTTCAAACTTTTTATCATCACTCATCCATAGCTATATCTTCAGTTTTGTCCAGTTACGTTGTTAAATTCTATTGCTTCCGCAATATTGTATTGTGGCATTAAAAACTTAATTTGTTTCAGTATAAAGGGTATCATGTTGGTTCTTATCTTCCGAGCTCTGGTGTTTGGCATCACACTCAAAGATTTTTGAAAAGGAAGATCATTGATTCCTCCATAGTTCGTCACATGGATTTTGATGCTCCAACCCGCGAAGGAGCTCAACTACTTCCTGATGACAAGGTACTGCTTTATCATCTTCTATCATGTTTTTTGTTGTTATCATCTATTTATTGGCATATATTTAAATTTTGAATAAATTATAAATTGCTTAGCTTGATAGATCTTTTGCTCGAATTTGATGGATTCATTTTTAGCTGGTAAATAACATTATTTTACAGTTGCACTAACCAGTTTAACACATGTTGTTAATTGTAGTATATTAGCTTCATTTTCTCTGCCAGATTTTTTTTTTGATCCCACCGTTATGTAATTTTCTTTCTAGTTATCCATAGATTAGTGATAAGAGGTTTGGTATTTGTAAGCAGAAGCAGGATGAAGCACTCCTTGAAGATATCTGGATTTTGTTAAGAGCTGGACTTGTAGAAGAGGCTTGTGAGCTTTGCCGTTCTGCGGGGCAGGTATGGAAGCTACATTGATGATCCATTTCTAAAAAAATTGGCTCTTGTTCAACACATTATATATATTAATATAGCCATGGCGAGCTTCAACTCTATGCCCTTTTGGAGGACTGGATCTCTTACCATCCATAGAAGCTATGATTAAGAATGGGAAGCATAGGTTGCTACAAGCAATTGAGCTGGAAAGTGGCATTGCGCACCAAATGCGGCTTTGGAAGTGGGCATGCTATTGTGCATCAGAGGTATGATTCATTGAATTTATTTGTGTTTCTTTGTGCAATAATTATTTTTTACATTATTCATTGCATCTTTGATCTATAAAGTTGAAAATTTTTTATGATAAAAAGTAATTTACTGGGAATTGTGTGAATATTTATTTCTATGTTGTTGATTCTTAAATCAGCATAGTTAACTATAATCCTGGAACTCGAGTGTTTTTGCCTCTCACAAAGAATTTTGAATGAAAATATTAATTTTACTTTGTTATGCCTTTGAGGTTGGGTTTTGGAAAGCATCATAGCTAGTCGTTCACATTTGCACCATAAAATATCTTCAACATAAACTATTTGATGTTGAGGAAGTTAAATATTTCACTCAACAAATTGTTCATCCGAAAAAAATGAAAATTGCATTCTATAGGAAAATGGATATTTATATTTTTATCCTGTTTTTCTCTATTTAGTTATTGGCGGTCACTTAACACTATTCAACTCTAGCTAATTGATGATATGTTTGCAAGAATTATTATGATGGAACTTGCTATATTAGGGCACCTTTTCTTATGTTAATGTTTGTTAGTCTCGTTAGTAGTTAGGATTTCTTGTATTCAAAGATTATTATATAGGGGAAATACGTTCTGTCTATATTCTCATACTTGTGTGTATTATTCTATTTTATTTGTGTCATTATCATATCCCCATGTATACCAATTTTCATGTCCAACGTCTTCAATTAGTAAGTTGAATTTCCTTTCCTCTCAACTTAGTATCAAATTTAGAAACTTTAGTCACTCATTTGATTGATTTCATGTGAAAACCTGCCTTCTATTCTTGCCTTTGACCCTAGTTTCTTGTGGCCTAAACCCATTATTGTTTGCCCCATTTTTTACTTCTTGCATTTACGCTGTTGCTTGCCCAATGCCCAATGATGTAGTCATGCTGTGATGCTGCTTACTTAGTCCTCTTTATCATTTGCGCCCGCCCTAACTGTCTTGTTGTTCTCTCGCACAATCTTGTTCATGTGTCTATTTACAACTACTTGCTCAGGGGTTGCTTTCCCTCTCAATGAAGTACCCTCCAGTCCACCTTTTTGTTTACTGATCTACATACTTTCGCCTCTATGCTTAAATGATCATTCTTTTTTCTGTATCTTTATTGCACACGGTGACATGACCTCTTGTCCTCCTCTGCATGATGAAAAACCCTCCATACCTCTATCAAGTTTGATTGTACTAATCGCCTCTTGTGCTCGAGGGTCTTTTACTATATCATTAGTTCTAATGATATATTTTTTCATTATGTTTCTATCAGGTTATTCAAATAGCCAACAACTAATTATTCCATCCATAGAACTATCTATCGACTCCATACTTATATTTTATGAGATTGTTAAGGCAACATTGAACTTTTCCCGTTCGGCTTACTTCCATAAAAGGAACATCTTAAGGGTGTATGCATTACATTTGGACTCAATTTTTATAGTAGAAGGATTGTCCATTCAAAAATATTATATTATCTTATAAGCTATGTTGGTTGACTTCAATACAAATCTTTTATTAATGATCTTTAAGGTTTTATAGCAACAAAATGAGGATGTTCTAGCTGCTAAATTTCTATGCAACCTTCATCATGCATTTAAAATTTTACAATTTCATTTGATCATCCAAATTATTGTTCCCATTCCTGTAATTGCTCACTCTGATGTTCTACGAGTCAATAAGTTGTTTTTTCTTCTTTCATCTTTTAACTTGACTTCACTTGTTTTAGGACATCGTGCTTATCGTGGTGGTTTTGATCATGGAGATTGGATAGTGGGTGCACTAGTTATGGGTCGAGATTCATTCCTCTTTACTCTCATCATGGTCAACTTAATCGTGCGTCAGAATGATGTATTGCCAAATTTTTCGTCCACGTATTGCCAAACATTCGTCCACGTATTGCCAAACATGGTCTAAAACATCTAATCTCAGGAGGGTTATGTTTACTTGATTTTAGAGCTCCCAGATCTCTGACGTAGTTCTCTCTGCTTTGTTGCATCTATGCCTTCAATTATGTTATGTACAATAGGTTTAGGCGTCTCTCTCTGTATGACAGATAATCACAGGTTGTTTTATCTTTTCACATTATCTCCTTTTCTCTTTTGATTGTGGCTGATGGATCTCCATCATCTTTGCCAGGAAAGTTGACTTTTGAAACCCTCTTTGTTATTAGTTATTCATTGTCTTACCTAGTTTGTAATTATTTTTGTAATCTTATATCCTCTTATAGTTCCTTTTAGGATATTTGTTTTGAACATCGAATGAGATGATTGATGGATGTGTTGAAGCTTATCTCATTTTCTTTCTTTTTTCATTTTTGTCTATTGCTACTTCTTTCACTTGCATTGTTGGGTGGGTCATTGACGCTGGCACTCATAGGCGCCTTTGTAGCAGGGCGCTCATAGGGGCCCCTGTAGCGTGGCACTAACAGTGCGCCTAGCGCTAGGTGCTAATTGCGCCCCCGCCCCTATAGCGAGGCTTCAATCCTGCGGGTTAGAAGACCCGCGAAGCTTCGCGAAACTGCGCGATCGTGATCTCGCATGAAGGAGAGGGAAACAGATCGTGAAACCTCGCAAACCATTGCAGTAGCAAGAAAGCTGTGCGAAGCTGCGACAGCGGGAGAACCCACGGAGATCTGAAACAAAGGGGAAGGAAACTCCACAAAAGAGATCTGAAACTCCACAAAAGAGATCTGAAACTTAACACACTCGGAACAGATCCCTCACACACCTAGGACAACCCCAGACGGAGGAAGCTTCTACATAAAGGAAAGTGCTGAAAAAGACGAGGAATCTGGAAAACTCTTTCCGTGCTCTAAATTTTTCCCCTCTGAGGTGGTGATTGCGTCTTTCCTTTTTAACTTCCCCAACCTATCTCTTTCACCCCCCTTAGCCGCCAACCACTACAAGCTTCTCTCAAACTACCACACTACCGCTGCCTACCACATATAATCCTTCCCACTTGCTCCCCCTATAGTTCTGCATCTTCCCCTCGCTACCACCAACACTCTGTTGCTGATACCACCTCCGCCAACTATCCCGACCCACTTCGCCGATCTCCACCACCCATTGGAATACATTTAGGAGCATTTGTTTGTGTCGCTTTGTGTGTTTGTGTTGTGATTTCTTTTTGAGCCACGTTCTAACCTTATTTAAATATTAATGAAAATTTACTTTTTTGTTTCCACAATTTCTCCTACTAGTTCCAGTATCAGTCATTTTTTTCCCAACATAATTTAGTCATTGGTTGTTTTTGTGTCCTCAAATTTGACTCTCATCCATGTGAGTTAAGTTAATAAAATCATGTAAAACTACTTGTCATTGACGTAGACATTTTTAGTTAACGCACTCAGGCATTTGTTGTCTAATCTGCTCCTTTTTATTTTGGCTTTTGCTTTTTTCCACCTTTATTGATGATGTTTCAAGGTTTATATGGGTTTTACTATTCATATGCCGCTCTTTGGTTCTTCATGTGTTCAAAAATTTTCTTATGAAATAAATAAGTTCAATTCGAGACCACATTTTAGTATTTTAGTATTCATACAATCTTAATTCACACCTTTTTCTCTGCCTATGGTGCTATTCATCCAACTTAATGTTCCTATAACTCTCAAATGAATGGTGCTTTTGAATGAATAAATCACTGTTCTCGTGACATTGCCAAGATATTAATATTTGGCATTATTGTTCCTATTTTTAGGAGTATCTTTGTTTTAATAGCTTGCTATCCCATCAATCGTATCATTCGCATAATTCTAGACCACATGTTAACCGTCTCTGCTTTTCATCCACAAATTTTCTGTTGTATCCATTTTGTTCATGTTTTTTGTTTGCTGCATAAATTCTCTCCCTGTACTATTTGGTATATCTTCCTTGATCACATCATGCCTTTCTTTTTCACCCTTGTTTACCCTTGAGCTCTTTGCGACAGTGGTTCCTCCTCATCTAGAGCTCTTCTTCTTACCACCACTCTATACATATCCAAATTAACACATTTAACCTTATTTTTGGGTTCAAGCGAGTATACATTAGCCATCAAGCCATTTGTTCTACTTTTAATTATTTCCCTATAAAGCATTAAAAGTCAACATATTACCCACCTTGGTCATTCCTATTCTTCTTTTGATCATTTATTCACTTTGTTTCGCACCTTGCCTTGCCTGTGTCATTTGTATATGTTCTATGGCAAAGTAAAATATATTGCAAAATGCCTTATAACATATTATTATGATTGTTGAAATTAATTTTCTTTTTAATTGTCCTATTTGGGATTTGGTTGTACCTCCTTAGGGTCAAACCCATTGGCAGTTCATGGATGTTTATTATCAAATTTTATCTCCATGGATTGATTGATCGCTACAAAATTTGACTGGTATGCAAAAAGTTGGGCTAAGTTAATGGGATAGACCACCTTGACACTTTCTCCCAGTTGCGCGGCTTGTGTCTCATATTTCTTTTGTTTGTTTTCGTCAATTGAGGTTTGATTATGCTATAAATTATTGTAAGTAAAGCCTTCTTTTATGGTGATCAATTATTAGTATTTTATGATATATGAAGCAATCTTCTAGGCATATTGCTCAGGTGGAAAATCATGTTTGTCTATTCAGGAGGGCTAATTATGGCTTTAAATAAAATCCATGAGTAGATTTGACAAATTTTGTAAAGTTTTGGCTGTGATTAGGTTTTATAATAGTACTAAAAATCACTCCACTTTAATCAGATAGGCTCTGTTATCAAGTTGTTTATGTTGACGACATCTTGCTTATTAGAAGTAACCATCTTAATATCACAGATATAAATCGCTACTTTCAAAGGTGTTTGGCAAAAAAAAATTGAAATATACATGGTGCTTTTTTAACAAGAATTTTAATATAATAAAATAGATTTTTTTTGGCCTAATAAACTTTTTAATATTATTTTCAAACTAAAAAGATGTCTAATATGTGGAGAAAGAGTTTATTGGTTCCTATTGTTAAGAATAAAGGAATTGAATTGTGCAAATCATAGGAATTAAGTTAATGTGTCATACATTAAAGTTATGGAAGAAAGTAATTGAATATAGGTTTCAACGTGATACAAAATTTCTCATAATTAGTTTGGATTCATATCGAACAAGTTTATTATGGAAGCTGTACATTTATTGAGACGTTTGATGGAAATGTACAAAGAGAGTAAGGAGGAACAACATATGATTTTTAGTGAGTTAGAAAAAAAAATTATAATAAGATTCCATGAGAATTATTTTGGAGAGTTATAAAAGAAAGGTGTTGATATTGCTTATATTCAAGTCATTAAAGATATGCATACTAGAGTTGTTGCTTATGTTCGAACACGAGGAGATTGATCAAGTATTTTCCTATTTCAGTTGGATTACATTTGAGATCAGCTTTAAGACTATATCTTTTTATTTATGGATGTTTTTATTGACATGTACAGGAGAATGTATTGTGGTGTATGCATTCTGCTGATGACATCCTTTCTGTGGATAAGACTAAATAGAATTTTCGGGAAAAAACTTGAATTTTATGTGTCAACTTTAGAGTCTAAAGGCTTGTTGTTGTTGTTGTTGTAAAATGGGAGTATCACTTCCCCTGGAGGGAATATGCTATTAATCTCCTTGAAGAAACAAACCTCCTTGATTGTAGGCTTGTTGCTGCTATAGGGATTCCGACGACATCTTATGATGAAGAATCTCCTGATGATTATTTCAATATTGAAGGCTTAATTGGTGAGTTGATTATGTTATTGATACTAGGCTTGAAATTCTATCCTTCGTTGGATTGATGAGGTAACACACGTACAATGTGAAAGTAGCACTGGGGAGTTTCTCTTTAAATACTCCTGTATATACAAAACGTATCCAGAGAAGAAAATTTCTTATAAGCTAAAACTAAACATCTGTTAGTTTGACTGTCAACTCGATCGAAGAGAGGGAATAAAATTAGGGCATTTCATCTTTGTTGAGTGAAATGTTGTCGCCTTAAATAGCTTGAAACAAATATTCTAATTAGATCATATGCTAAACTAAAAACAATCATATTTTTCATTTTGCTTGTGAAATGACATTTGTAAAAACTCTTTTTGGAGAGTTTAATTTTTATTTACATAGCTTATGACTTTATATTGCCACAATTATGCTAAGGCATATATTGCTGGCAATATTATTTTATTAATGAACTAAACAAATTAAAATAGATTTTCATTTCATATGAGATGATGGTCTTTTAAGAAAAAAATGTTATTTCACACATTTCTAGTTCAGAACAAGTGACAAATATCCTTACCAAAGCATTAGCTCCCCTTCTTTTTTTTTTTTTTAATTTATCTAACAAGTTGGACATAACCTACATGTATGCTCAAGCTTGAGGGGGAATGTTTGCTTGGTTAGTATATTAGGCAGGCTACCTATTATCGGAAGATGATTATATTAATGAGATTTTTTTTTTGATATCTTCAATATTGGATGTATTGTTTCTCTATTTTTTTTTTAATTCCTTTTTGTATATTCATTTATGTCTATTTACACGCTCAACATAGTGACTCAATACATTTTCCTTCTCTCAGCAAGGTAAAATGTTGAAAAATCACATCTATTCGATACGCATTTTAACAGTATTCTTTATCATGTATGTGAAAGCAGTATCATATTCAAATAATAAGAACTGCAACTCATATTCCTTGGGACTTTCCCAGAAAGTTTATGTTTACCTGCTTACTGTGATATTTATATTATCACCCTATGTAGTTGCTATTGCTGCTGCTGTTAATAACGGTGTATCATTTTGCAATTTTTTTTCTCCATTAATTCAAGTTTTTTTTTTAATGAATTTTCTGTAAAGAATGCTATGGCATTGAATACAGGGATTGTCCTAATGATTTGAAATGCTAACTGAGTCTATCAATGCAATTGTTATTGTGTAGAAAATAGCAGAGCAAGATGGTGGGAAATATGAGATGGCTGTTTATGCGGCTCAATGTAGCAACTTGAAGCGCATGCTCTCTATCTGCGAAGATTGGGAGGTAAATTTTTGTCTCCTATATGCACGGTGATGTTAGTCGGAACAACAACTTTTTTAATTTCTTTTATATTTTTAGTTGTCTTTTGCCTCTTTACAGTGATTAAAAAGTGCTTCTTTTGTTTCTTAGCAACTTATGTTTACACAGATAATTTCATAGTTTCAAAAATATTTTTTCTTGAAGTGCTCAAGATGCAAGTGCAAATCAAGATTTTTAAGATCTTGCAAATCAAGATTGTTAAGATCTTTTAATAAATTCTACATCTCATACTTTTCAAAGGAATGTAAAATGTTATCAAGCTTAGTTAATATAGTGCTTTGTGCTCGGTCAAGTGCACCATAGAATTCACTACTTAGGAGGTTAAGCTATTGGGAAATTTCAGGCTTTGGTTGTGACTATAGTTTAATTATGTTTTTTAATTACTATCTGCTCAGAATGCTTTAGTCATAGTCATAACTTTAGTGTAGTCATAATCATAATTTGAATGTGTTATTTGGTGCCGGACAGCATGTTCAGAGAATGCGTGCCATGTTCTTATTGGAATGAGACTTTTGAGGGTGATTAAAAAGATATACTTGATATACTATTGGTTAATGATCTTAGCTAGAACTTAAATCTGCCATTATCAATAAATCGATGCGGGGGGTGAATGGAGAGTTCGGATTTTACTTGGAAGTTTTTTATATTTTTGCAATTTTTTTTCTTTTTACACCTTCATCAGGATTTAAAAATGACATGCTTCATGGTTTGGGGGATTTTAATAAGGTTTTCCTCCAACGGCGATTTAATGCTATCATGTACCGGTGAATTTGAATGCTTTTGATTTTTTTGCCTCGGACCTTAATGATTTTTCTTGTTTGTAGTGGATTGGATTTTTGGCTTGAATTCACTGCATTATAAACTTTGTTGACTCAACCATCGTAGTTAGGGGATTGTGACTTTAAATTAGAGCTCGTGACTGTAACTAGTAGTTATAGTATCAAGAGTTTACATTTTTAATTTGAATTTTCCTTGTGAAAGGCATTGAAGGGTTTATAAAAAACATAAAACATAATTTATGTGCGTTTGCAATCATGTATTTGATTCTTGATCCATGATGATATGAATTTGTTGAATTAAACTTAGACTATGAGTTTAAAACCAAGATTTTAATCGTGATTAATTTTCAATATACTGCATGATGAGTTTTAGTTTAAAGGAGAGCTTATTGAGCTTCAAAATGAATTCATGCTTTTGAAGCAATTGCTTGATTTTCAGAGTAGGTCATTAATTGATTGTCTTATTATTTTAGTTCACCTAGCAATTTTTAACCCTAGGTTAAGCATTTTTCATAGTTATTAGAGCTCATATTTGAAACTTCAGTTTCAAAGATCTAAAAATAGTTTAGAGGACTTCCATGTTTTTCAGTGCATTGCTGATTTTTAGAGCTTTGAAATTGAGATGAAGTCTGCCCCATAGTGTGTGCAGGGGAAGGCTTATTAATTATTTGCATGAATGTTTTTGTTGTTACAATTATAGATAGATATTTCATCTTGACTTTAAATATCAGATTCTGCTTGCTTATGTGCATGTGTTGCGGGTTTGGTTGGAGAGTTATTATTCATTCATGTTCAAAGGATAATTTATTTGCATTTAGCCTTTAATTTTTTCAAGTAGATACCATATTGAATCTTTCTTCGCACATAAATGAGAACGTTGGCGAGTTACTTTTCATAGTTCAATCATCAGTTTTTAGAGATCTGTAGCTCGATGTAGCAAAGTTTTTTTTTTTTTTTGTGCACTTGCAAATGAGAATTATTTATTTTCTTTTAAATCTTTGTATTCAAATTTGTTCTCACAACATGTATCATATTTTGAATGCTCATTTGTTTGGGTTGCCTACTATGCCATGAAAGGCATGCATATTCGCTAAGACATCCTAATTACCCACCTTAGAAATTTCTTATAATATAGTATTTTTCCCATCATATTAAGAAAAAAACACATAAGGTTTAGTTGTTGCGACATGAGTATTACCTATAAGTTTTTCCCTCCAAAAGATGTGCATATGTTCCATTGGTCACCCCAAACGCTTATGAAACATGATTTAAAAGTTTTGAGTGGTTGCATTTTGTACTTTCGAGTGCAAGGCGTTGGATGAGATTTTGTGGTGAAACAAAAAGAGAAAGCCAAACACAATCTCTCCATTTGCACTCTTTTATTATTATTATTTTCTTTTATTTTGGGATCTATCTATGTCCGTTTGGATTCATGCATGTATGGACGTTTGTAGTGATGGATCAATCATTCATGCATGTATTTGTATGGATTTATGTATTGATGGTTGGATGTATGAGTGAGAGAGAGGTTTGGGGAGATGGGCAACATGAAAGCTATGTTTCGAGATTTAAAGAAGTCTCGCAAGTAAGTGAAGTTGTGGGCTGTGGGATAAGTTGGGATTACAATTTTACTTCGTGAAGTTTTGGGCATGGTGTTGAGTTGGGTTGATGGCGGTTTGGCATTTAGGTGAGAGACAAGCAAGCAAGTGGAGGGAGATAATCGGAGGTGATTGCTAATCTGTCAAATTTGAGGAGCACCTGTCGTGGGTAGCTAGAGTGTAGCGGGCAGAGCAAGGTGAGTTTAGGAGGAGTTTGTGAGGGAGTAAAAACGCATATGAAGAGAATTGTGGAATGTAGAGAATATGAGTGGTTGATGGGAGATCACGGTTGAAGTTGGGTTGAGATGAGGGATGCAAAAGGCTTTGGTCGAGACGATCAGACAAAGAATAAGCAGACACATGAAAATGATATAGGATATGTTTTAATTTTTTTTCTATTTTATTTAGTTATTTATTTTTTTATAATTCCATGATGCTAAATGCTCTCGTTTTGAGGTTATAGGCATGGGTTGGGATGAATGTAGGCATGAGAGAGATACGTGGCATCCCATGAAAATTATTCTTTTTTATTTTTCATAATTTTAAAGTAGGATTTAAACAGTAAACACATTTATTTTAATTTTGTAACTATTAATTATAATTATTATTGATTTTCTTTGCATGTTTTATTGTGTCTTGCACACATTGATTTCATGTAACCCATAGGTAAATTTTGCACACATTGATTTCATGCACCTCCCTTCCTATTTTTGTTTCTCGCCTTATCCATCTTCTATTTGTATGTTATTTCTCTGTTTAAAGGTTATGTTTTGGTGAGATTGATTTCAAATTTTTGGCAAGGATAGCCGTCGACGTCCTCTTTTTCTTTTCCATCGTTGTATCCGAGGATGAGTGGTTCTCTAGCTGTATTTCGCTTCGAGGTGGTGGTTATCCTCGACGTTCCCCATTCACACACTTCCGCCGTCGCTTCCGCCACAATAGCTGCAACCTCTCACGGACAACATATCTGTCCCTTGCACTCCCAAATCTCCTTCCCTATGCTATATATCTACCCACTCCTTTCCCGTCATCCTGGCCGCAACCACTACAATATTTCACTCCCATAATCCCCCCTACCTTCCCCTGTTCGTTTCCCATCAACTCAGCCTCAGCCAACTACAATATTCCATTGCCGTAAGCCTCTCCTACACCCCTTTCTCCTTTCTCGTCAAACCCAGCCGCAGTCCACCTGCAAGCCTCTCTGCCTTCACGTTCTCCTACCACCTATATCCCCCTATTCCCAACAATATGCTATTGCAGCCACATCCTACCCCCACTTGCTATCTTGCCGTACTCTCCATAATCCCTTGTCCTGCACCACCTGCTGCTTAGGCCCACTCCCACATGCAATCTGCTATAACTGGCCACCAGCCTGCACCTAGCCATCCTTTCGGCGACCGCTGCCTCCGTCCAGCCCGCCTTGTTAGTTGTGTCGTCGATGCCCGCCGTCTTCACCCCTCGTGTTAGGGTTTCTTTTATGTTGTCATTTATTTCTTGTTTTTGAGAGTGGTTATTGTAACTTATTTGAATTTCAACAATAATATTTCTATTTCTATTGTGGTTTGAGTTAACTCTAGTATCAATTTCACTTTTGAACATTGGATGGAGCAATGTAGGTGCCTTTTGTAAGTATTTTCTGGATTCATTGATATGGTTTATTTTATAAAACGATGATGTTTGAGTTATGCATTTCAAACATGAATTGATTGATATTTCTTCCACTTTCCATCATTTTCATCGCATTTAATTGCGTTGATCATGGAATTGATGCTTAGTCAATCAACATGATTATAGTATCCTCATGGGAGAACAATTCACTCGAATGTCCGTTCGAGAATTAAATTATATAATACCCATCATATTTTGGCTCAAACGCTTTCAATCTCATCAGCTTAGTTCACCAGGCAAACGAACCAAGGGTTTGAGCTTGATCTTACCATTTCCCATTTGATCCAATTTAGTGAGTCATTGCATTAATATGCTTGCTAAAATATGGGTGCTTTGAAAAAGCATATTAGCCACCTTAGCTATATGGTTGCTGTAAAATTCATTACTTGGTATCTTTTTTTCTTCTTTATCGAAATTGTAAGTCTAACTTGTGTGCTTTTGAATAGACATAAACCCCTCTTCAACCAATTAACTGGGTTGACCTAATGCCATCAAAACAATCCTAATTAGTCAAATCACCATTATTAATGGTCATAGCCACACAACACTTGATCATGCTTTCACTATCCTTGGGGTTGTCTATCTTGTTTATTAGCTTTCTAATAGAATTAGGGGTGCAAGTGGGCCAAGTTGGCCTGAATTGGATTCATTAAAGAGATCGTGAGTCGTGCTTATCGAGCAACGAGTTTGAGCTTGAGCCTAGGATCATGAGTTTGTTTTTATATGAGCTCAAGCTTAGTTAGAATCAAATCGAGAGCTTATTAAGTCAGCTTGATCAAATTAATTAAATTATTAATTAATTTCACTACTCAATATAAAATTTTCTATGATTCCATAAAATTTTTAATATACTTTTATCAAAATTTTCATTCATACATACATATATATGTATGTATGTGTATATATATAAAAAAGATACAAAAAAATTGTATGAGAGGACCTAAAAGAAAACCCAACTCATACAATACAACACACACCAAATCCAGATAAAACAACGATACAAAAAGGTAAAAAACCAAAAAACACAAAAGAGCACAGAAGTGCTAGGGACGTCCCACTTTAGTACTCCTCCCTCTAGTTCTCGGAAGTGAGCCGACTAACAAATTAGGAAGGCGTGTACCATTGCCCGTAGTAACCAAAGTATCATCCATTAGATTCTTGAGCTTAAGTAGATTTTCATTCTTCTTCTTCCTCATAGATGTGTAGACTTGTCATTCCTTATCCGATGATTGACTCATCTGATCAGTAGTTTCCAAAGGTGGTTGGATAGGTGTAGGTCGTTGCACGTCTTGATCCCCATGAGCCTGAGTAATATTAACATCTTTTTGGACCTGATGATGTGGTTGTGAAGCACTAGAAATATTTTCATCTGTCTTATCAGTGATAGGTTCTGGGACAGGCGGAGTCTGAAGAAACTCCCTCTCTCCCACGATAAGAGGTTACAAAGACGAGAGATCTACAACTGGGGATTGAATATTTGTCAAATTGCCTGTCTGATCAAGAGAAGATGGAATCACAACCTCTTGCGGAGCATTTTGCTTTTTTGTTCTGAGTTGGGGGTATAGATGGTGACATTGAGAACTGGAGTGTCCGAACATACGACAGTTCGAACAATAAGACGGAAAATGTTCAATCTCTACCTTCTGCCAATATCCCTGGTGTTGTGTGCCCAACCAGATTTTCTCAGATGCATGTGAAGTGATGTCTCTTTCAACAAGTATTATGGCTTCAGAAGGACGAGACAAGTTAAAAGTAGGAATGTCCGTCTTGAGTGACTTCCCATAAGCTAAGACAATAGAGTACAATACTTTTTGAGAAAAATAATAAAATTTCAAACCAGAGAGACGAATCCAAATCGGAATGATTGGCGTTTCCGTCTGTGGGTCAAAATCCGCAGACCATTTCAGAATCTTCGTTGCTCTGTTATCAATCAATATTATTCTTTTAGCAAATAAACGCATGCAATCTTCTTCATTGCTAATTTGAATAAGAACGTGTCTCCCATCTAATAATTCAATTTTCCATTCTCTAACAAGGTGCATAAGTTCAAATTCTTTGCGAATGAGCTCCATTTTGGGATATCCATATAGAAATTTCCCAACCAAATTCAGACGACAGGATGATGCAAGTTGAATACCTTCAACTTCTGTAAAAAAGATGGTGGGCGTCCCATTCTTCATATCAGGTTTCTTGACGTCCTCCGCCCACTCCGCCCACTCAAACGAAGATGATGATTTTGGTGTGCCTGAGGCGTGGACACCGGCAGGAGCAACTGCATATGATTTGTCCGAAGCCATCCTCTAGGACAGACCTTTAGAGAAGAAAGCAGACGAGCGCAGAGAACGCAGGAATCAGAGCAGTTCCCGCGAGGTTGAGGAACACAAGAAATGGAAGTTCCCGCGAGGTTGAGCCGCAGAGGGACGAGCGCAGAGAACGCAGGAAGCAGTTCCCGCGAGGTTGAGCCGCAGAAGCGAGCGGCGAGACGGGGCGCAGAGGAGCGAGGAGGTAGCCTCGTCTCAGAAGAAACGCGAGAGACGAACTTGAGTGCGAAGAAGTACACGCGAGTGAGAGAGATCGAAGCCGTGACTGTTGCTAGGTTTCGCCATCGTGCGAAACCCTAGTGGAGCCGAGCGAGGACGACGCCATGTATGTATGTATATATAAATTATTCCTTTAGATCTTGTTTGGCCTTGCCTTCATCCACCTAACTATCCTCTTCATTTCAAACCTAAAAATTAAATCTAAATAAAGAATTTGAGTTTAAGAAACCTCTTTAATTGAGAGGATTCTCCGACAAACAAGAGTTGTAATTAATTGTGTGGGCTTGCAGTCATAGGTAGTCTCAACCTCAAAGCTAAATAAATATGGACACAACATCAAGGGAAATATGTTTAAAACAATCTTAATCTACTTAAGAACAACTGTTGTTGAATCAACTTTTTTATGCACCCAGGAAGCTTGAATGTAAGGAGTCGGACTTTTCTTGATTGTTGAATGCTTAAATTAATATTTATGTCCATTAGTCCTGAGGCTAGACTGTGCGCGGTCCCTACCATAATTTCTTCTTGTTGGCATTTCTTATATGATACATTTTCACTATTATCTCTCCTTTCCAATCAGCTTCTTTCATCCTATTACTGTACCTATGCTTTATGTCCTCTATTGTCCACAATAACTGGAAGTAGAACACTTCTGATAAAATGTAAATATACCGATTTTTCTTATAATTTCAGTGTTAGATGATACATTTGCTATTTCTCTTATCATAGGTTTTCTTTTGAGGCTTAATCCATTTAATATAGTCTAGAATTTTCATATATGCAATACTGACTTTGTCAAACTTTCCTGGTTAAGGTTGTTACAGTATTGTTATCCTTATAGTTCTATGTAAATTCTACTGAGATCATTCAATGATTTTTTGATTAACACAGGGTTATGCAGTTGACTTTTTGAATTTAATAGCCCGCTTTATATTTGGGCTATTAAATACATACTTATTAATTTACATACATACCACACAATTTTTTTTTATTTACATATTGAACACCCAAAATTTGATATTTATATTTATAACACCTTGATGTCATAAACCTATGTTTAAAAAGTCATATTTTACTTTTAAAAAGGTAGTGATGGTGGTATTTTTTATGTGATGTTCAAAGTTTGAGTGGTATGCATGCAGATATGAATGCTTAGGTGTTAATGTGTAAATTAATAAGAATATTTATGTATTTATGTAAATACCCCTTTACACTTAAACAGTTTTCATGATTTTTCACAATTTCTGAGTCAGCAATCATATTTTACAGTCAGCTTGCTGGGCCATGGCGAAGTCTTGGCTTGATGTTCAGGTTGATTTACACTTAGCTACCTTTCAGCATGGGAGAGATGCAGAAAAGCACCATAGAGATGAAGTAGTCGGGATTTCGTCCCATGGTGCTTCAGCTGGTCTTGAAACTTGGCCGGATGATGTTGTCGATCAACAACCCCGGGATTTTCCCAGTCTACTTCAAAAACTTCATTCAGGGTAAGGGAAAACTGCAGCTTGTTCTGCCTTTTTTCGGGTTCATCTTATGTCTGATATGATTCGGCTTTCTTTGAGGTCTAGTGAGATTGTTCATGAAGCTGTGTTGAGAGCGTGCAAAGAACAACATCGTCAAATTGAGGTAAGAATTACTGCTGTCGTTGAGGAGAAAACTCAAAAAACTCAATTCTTTTATATTTACATATATAACACCTAAACTTTAATTTTTACGTACTTACCACCCTGCCTATGCATGTAAAGATGTACTGGACTTTTTAAAAGTTAACATGGTGGTACTTTTGATGTGATAAGAAAGATTTGAAATGTAAAGTTTAGGTGTTAGATATGTAAATATATAGAAATTGGGCGGTTTTTATGTAAATGTCCCAAAAATTAGCAAGTAACTGGTTTTATTTGTTTTGTGTTTATGTGAAGAACTCTTTACAAAGTTGTTCCTATTTAGTTAGACATAAACTGGTTAGGAATGATTGTATTAGAAAAGGACTTGCCCAGAGCATGAGCTTTCCTGCCATCGCAGGATCTAGTGAATGTTGATGTACCTTGACTTAACCAATGTATGGGTAAGGTGGTATTGTTTGTACAAATTGAAGTTTAGATGTTCGATATGTAAATACATAGTAATTGAGCGGTGTGCATGTAAAACTTCCTTTTCTTGGCGTATTACTATTTTCTGGAAATTGATAGGTAAAATAAAATGTTTATTTTTCCTAAATAACATTGTAAGCCTAATTTTTGCATTTTTTTAAGTATTTTATTCAACCCTTATTTTTTCACGCTAATGCTAACCCATGAACAGATGAATCTCATGATTTGCGACATACCATATCTCCTGGACCTTTTATGGTTATGGATATCGCCATCTGAGGAAGAGCATCATGGCTTACGGTATCACACCACACCGGCACAAACTGCTGCTTAGAGTTTTGTAATGGCTTGTATTTCTAATTAAATGTCTATTCTGTAGCCCTCATGGTGATCCTCAACTGATACGATTTGGAGCCCATTTATCTCTTCTTTTTCGATATCTTCTGGATGATGAAATGAAGGACACCTTCAAGGAGAAGCTTATGACAGTTGGAGATAACATTATCCAGATGTGAGTGTCCCTACACTCAATCTCACTCACGTCCCCTGATACTTTTTGCTCTAAAACTTTCAATTATAGAGAATTTTTGGCTGAACATTTCATCATTTGATGTTGATAATTTTGTATATTTTGTTGTTGAATTATCCACGTTTCAGTATATCTTCTTGTCATTCGCTTGAAAAGCATGCATTTTATTATAAAAAATTATTAATTAATTAGGGTTTTCTGAGGCATGGAGTGCGAGGAAAGATATGCTATAACTATGCGTTTCAATAAGAGGATATTTGCATTTTTATTTTGTAATTTGAAAAGGTTAAGAAATAGGTCCTAAGATTCATGATACATCTCTGTAGTTCATAGTCATACACATATAGGTAACAATACTAATGTCGTAAGTCTATTATTTGGATCACTTTTGATTTTGATTTTTATTTTATTTTATATGTTTTTAATTGAAATAAAGCATATTTGATATATTATAAATTTTATATGTTTTGAGTGTTTTTAAAAACAGACTAATTTAAAAGATACTAAACAAGTATATTTATAAAAAAAAAATTTCTAAAATAAAAGCAAAAAAATAAAACAACAATAAGAAGCCTTTATCCCACCAAGTGGGGTCGATTACATGATTCTTTTTTTCCCCATTGTGTCATATTGAGTGTCATATTTTCATTTACTTCTAATAGATTAAAATAATTTTTTGTATAATATGCCCAAGTCTTTTTAGATCTACCTCAGCTTTTCTTAACTTTAATCGAGTATAAGACAACTACTCTTCTAACCGGATCATAAGATGGTTGGAGTTTAATGTGACAAACCATCTAAGACGACTCTCTCTAATCTTGTCCACCACTAGAGCTACACTAACCCTATCACATATATATTAATTTCACATTTGATCTCTAAGTGTCAAGCCACTTATCTTTCTAAGCATACTTATCTCAACAACACTTAACTTTGTTTTATGCTTCTCTTTTAAAGGCCAATATTTTGCTCCATAAAGCATTGCATCCATAAATATTTTGCTCCATAAAGCATTGCAGGTCTCACCACCATCTTATAAAATTTTCCTTCCAATCTAAGTGGTGTTTTTCTATCACACAATTGGCCCGATGCATTCCTCCACTTCAGCCAACCACCGACTTGAATTCTACCTAAAGCATCAATTTAAACAATAGACTCGAGATATCTAGAACTTTCACACCTTTTAATGATTTGATTATCCATTTTTACAACTATGCCACTAGAGCTACCGCTACTAAAATTACATTCCATGTATTCAGTTTTAATTCTACTCAAACGAAGGCCTTTAAACTGTAATGTAGACCTCCAGTATTCAAGTTTTTCTGAACTCTTTCTCTAGTCTCATCTACAAGAAGGATATCATCAGCGAAAAACAAACACCAAGGTACATCTTCCTGTAAATGTTCAGTGAGAGCATCCATAATTAAAGCAAAAAGATATGGGCTTAAAGCTGATTTTTAATGTAATCTAATTTAAATAAAAAAATGCTTGGTCAATCCTCCTGTTCGAAAACAAGTAACAACTCTAGTATGCTTATCTTTAATGACTTGAATATAAGTCATAACAACACCTTTCTTCTCTAGAACTCTCCAAAGGGCTTTTCTTGTAACTTTATCTTAAGTTTTTCGTAAATCATTAAAAATCAAATGTAGATCCTTCGTATTCTCTCTGTTTCCTAAATCATTAAAAATCATATGTTGATCTTTCTTATTCTCTTTGTACTTCTCCATCAAATTTCTTAATAAATGTATAACTTCAATGGTAGACCCGCCCCAAATAATTTCAGATTGATTATGAGAAATCTTTGTATCACATCTTATCCTATGTTCAATTATCCTCTCCCATAATTTTGAAGTTTGATGCATCAAATTAATTCCTCTATAATTTACACACTCCAGTGCATCCCCTTTATTATTAAAAATGGGGACCAAAATGCTCTTCCCATACTCAGACATATCTTTAGTTTTTAAAATAATATTAAAGAGTCTATTAATCCAAAAAAACAACTAATTCTCTTTAATATTTCCACACTTCAATTGGCATATCATCAGATCCTACAGATTTTCCATCATTTATTTTTTTTAAAGTCTACTCAACTTCTTTTTTACCAATGCGATGATAAAATAAAATATTTTATTATTAATAACAATATTATAATAACTAAGGTTGATTGTATTTTCAAAAACTTCATTGAAAAGTTTATCAAAATAGCTCACCCATTCGATGTCGAATATCTTTCTCTGAGAAAAACACTTTGATTTTTATTGAAAAGCTTATCAAAATAGTTTACCCACTTGTATCGAATATCTTCCTCTAAGAAGAACTCTGTTTGATTTTCATCTTTAATACATTTTTTTTGAAAATTACTTTCTTTTTTCTTTGTTTGGCTAGTTGATACTTTTATATTTTATCATTTTTAGTATTTAATCTATTATAAAAGTCACTAAAAAAGAATTTTTAGCTTCATTAAATGTATCTCTTAGACTCCCTATGGGCCACCTTATAATTTTTCTAATTTTCTAAGCTTTTATATTTAAACTAATTTTTATAACAGTACTTCTTATATTTTATATTTTTTTGCACATTATTATTTCATTATCAATTATTTTTATTTATAAAAACTTTTTCTTTTGACTCTCCAAATACATCTTTTGTCACTTGTTTAATATTGTGTTACTTTATCATATACAGAACTTGCTTCTTCATGAACATCCCAAATATTGAAATCTTGAAGTTTACTCATAAAAATAATTTTATTTGTCTTTTAAATGCCCCCATTTGACAATGCTTTGTAGTATCCTTTATCTTACAACTCTTCATCTTAAAATCGAGAACTAATAATCGATGTTGAATATTTAATTTTCACTTGAAATAACTTTACAATCTTATATTCTAGGCGATATCATTCTCTCATAAGAAAGTAATCAATTTGTGTTCTTTTATTATATCCATTCTTATAAGTAATAATATGCTCATCTTTTTTCTTAAATAAAATATTAGCAATAACAAAATCATATGCTAAAGCAATAAAATATTAGCAATAACTCTTAAATAAAATATTAGCAATAACAAAATCATATGCTAAAGCAAAATTTAATATGATTCCTTCTTAGTTAATCAATTCAAACCGTAAGCATCATGAATATTTTTAAAATCTTCCATCACTCTATTAACATCTTTATTTAATTCTCCTCCTATAAAAAAAATTTTCGTTAAGATGTATCATTTGTATTAATTTTTCTAAGTCATTCTTGAAATTTTCTTTGGAACCTATATCTAAACTTAATTGAGAAGCATAAATGCTTAAAGCTTTGAAAATCTTAATATCAACAACAATCTTAAGGGCTATAATTCTATCTCCAATCATGTTATTTTTTACAACATTATATTTCAAATTCTTTTCTATAATTACACCTAAATCATTTATAGTGTGACTCCTACTTGAATTTCAAAGTTTAAAACCTAAGTTATCAATCTTTTTAGCCTCTTCTCCAATCTATTTAGTTTGTAATACAAAAGATATTTTTCTTCTTATGAATTATAATATCAATTAGTTCCATTTATTTTTCTGTGAGAATATCTATATTTCAAGATTCTATTATAATATTAGTTTCATGAACTAACTTTTTTATCTGTATCTGTCTGTAATGTGAAAATCCTTGCTTATTTGACTCTACACCTGGGCGTCAGTGTAGCGGCCCTTGTCACTTTTCCCTGTATTTAGGTCATACATCGCATCGCTTCTATGGGATGCCCTAATATTTACACCAGATTAAATGATTCATGTCATGATTTTTCGACAAATTTTACGCTGGTTGTCGACTACTTTTTAAAACCCAAGCCCTAAATATTACGTCACTTTCCTTTTTTATGGTACAATTAATGTCTTTTTTTGTACGTGTAGTATGTTGAAATCCTTATATGGAAAAACTTGACGAATAAATTCAAATTTTCAGAGTTCAAAAGATGCCAATCAAACCGATTTTTTCTGAAAGTTTATGTTTATATAGTTCAAAGTGGAAATTTATGCTTATAAAGTTCAAATTGGGAGTTTTCTAATCGCAAATTGATGTCACGTTGTCGTGGCACGCCCATTTAATTCGTAAATTTAATTATAAGGATGGAAACTGCTTGAGGAATTAATTGCAACATTGTAGAAATAAGCTTGTTTTGTTTACTGAGGAGCAAAAGAGGCGCCAATAAAATGGTTAGAATCTGTTGATGGGCATGAAAGAAAAATTAGTGAATCTATGATAATTTGGCTAGGAGTTGTGCATAAAGATTTTCATATATTTAACAACCAAAGTAATGCTATATATATATATATACAAGATTATTTATAATGTTGAACCAAATGTACGGGAGAATGTTAATGATGATAATAATGAATATTCAAAGGGGGTCAGAAATATTTGTGAACAGACACATGGTTGATCGAGTAAAATAAAAGGCTATTCTGATTATTATCACTCTTCTTCACATAGGTATGCAATGTTTTTATTTTCCGAGCATCATGAAGAGCTCGTTGGACTATATGCCTCTCAAATTACTCGTCATTATTGCATCGATCTGTTTGTTGAAATGATGGAGCTAAGGTTGAACAGCAGGTATTTTAGGGACTTGATCTTGCTACTATTTTGCTTGATCTTCCCGTCTAGTTTTTTGGTGAAATTTAAACGCATACCACACAATTTTTATGTATTTACATATCTAACACCTAAACATTCATATATGGAACTTCGTTGTGATAAACCTTTGCATGAAAAGGTGTATTGAACTTTTAAAGATGTAATAATTATGATATTTTTGATGTGATGTTGAAGCTTTCAGTGATATGCACGTAAATATAAAAATTTAGGTGTTAGATATGTAAATACATAAGGATTGTGGCAACTGCTACTTTGAGAAACTTCTGATGCTTTATCTATCTTCGAATTGAAAAGCATACACGAAAAACATAAACTATTTCGTTCTGCAATCGAGTATCTGTCTTTCTCCTACGAAGACCAATCAAAGGCAAGTTTTGAAGACATCATTGAAAGGTATTTTGATTGCAGTATTTCTACAATATGTTTCAATATTTAGATACTTTATTGTACCAAAGTCAGCAAGGTTTAACTTTTTGCAGGGTTCTTTCAAGATCTCGAGAAATGAAAGCTTGTAAACATGATGAAAAACCTTCACATGTTGCGGAACAGCACCGATTGCAATCTTTGCAGAAGGCTATGGCAATTCAATGGCTTTGTTTCACTCCTCCCACTACTGTTAGTGATTTTGAGACCATCAGTGCAAAACTTCTCATTAGAGCATTGATGCATAGGTATCTGGCATTCATATATTAGTTTTTCTTTTGGGAAATTTACATTGTTAGCACACAATTCTTATGTGTTTACATATCTCACACCTAAAATCTCATATTTACATACATAGAACTTCAGTGCTTTAAACTTATGCATGAAAATATATATTTCACTTTTAAAAAGGGATAATAGTGCTATTCTTGATGTGATAATAAACATTTGAGTGATGTGTGTAATTATAAAAGTTTAGGTGTGAGATATGTAAATACATTAGAGTTGTGTGCCATGTATGCCAATTTTCCAAATATATTTCCATGCTGTCATGGTAGAATGCAAAAGCTATTCATAACTTTTGCTTCAATTTCAATAATTTAATTATAATTGTAAAGTTCATTGCTCACTAATATTTCGAAGTTTATTTCTTGCTCTAGTAATATCCTCTTCAGAGAATTTGCTTTGATTTCTATGTGGAGAATTCCTAAAATGCCAATGGGAGCACACATGTTACTTAGTTTTCTTGCTGAGCCTTTGAAGCTGCCTAAGGATACACTTCTATCTTTTGATGAGTATGATGTTTTGGCGAATCTCCATGAATTTGAAGACTGGGTATGTACTGCTCTTTTTTCTATTATATTTTAAGAAAAATTCGTGCAAACTTTATTCGAAATTGAGGGAAACTTCTTGAAATCTTTTTATTTTTATTTTTATTTGGAGCCAGAGGGAGTATTACTCATGCGATGCAAGTTATAGGAATTGGCTTAAGCTTGAGTTAGAAAATTCAGCTGTTCCTCCTGGCGATCTCTCTTCAGAAGAAAAGGAGAGGGCCATAGCTGCTGCACGTGAAACATTAAATTCTTCAGTGTCGTTGCTAATTAGTAAGTTCCTTAAAGATATTAAAATCTCATAGTTTTATATTGTTTATAGTTTCTTTATCATTAAAATATTTTTGGTTCACTAAACTTTTTAATGCTCACTCTTATTTTTCATGAATTAAATATGATGTACCATTTGCATGCAGCCTATTTTTTAAAACCAAATTGTCAAACTTGGACAATGTAACACCCTAAAATTTTCTCCTCATCATAGCCATTCACATAAATATTATTGATGAATGTAAAACTCAGCCAACCTAGACAACCTAATCAATTAATGATGAAATACTAGAAACAAGTCATCATTTGCATTGAAAAGTTCTTGACGAGAATTGGAAGAATCGCCTAGTCGTCAACTTCCACACCCATATTATTCTCCACATATCATATCTTTGCTCGAATGTCAAAGCAATCTCTACTGGGGGTTGAGTACTACAAATAAGCCACAACACCTAGAAGAACTCTTACCTTATGAAGTACAAAAGAAAGAAGGGAGACATGAGAGAATTTAAGCCTTTGTATATATTAACTTTGAATACGTGCTAGAAAAATGTAAAGAAAAAGCCCAAGAGGGACAATGGTTAGTCCCAATTATTCCCCAAAATAATTCTCTTTTTCCCATGAGCAATCTATTGTTACCTTTCCCATTTCATTGAAATCTTAAGGGATCATTTACCTCAGAATTTTAAAGAAAGCTATGAAAATCTGTTGTGTTGAGTCTTTGTGATGTTTTGGAAGAACTCTACTCGAAGATGGTTGGCATGCTACCACTCAACATCATATGTTGTTTTGATAAACAATGATCGAGAGCTCATTGTTAAAGTAGCACACGTCATTTGGAGTTCGCTCGAACCATGCTTTGTTTTTTAAAGGGGGAATATAAACCTTTAAGGAATTATGTTCTAAGGTTATAAGTGCTACCCAAGAAATGAGTCTCTAAACCTTCCATCACATTGTTAGCTCCTATAATCAATCTTTATGATTCTTCATTTGAACATTTCATTACCAAGAAATCACCAACTATTGTGGAAGTATTAGAGCAACCATCGGTGTTCATTGACAATGATGACATAATTGCATAAACTCGTTTTAATAAAGGCCTAGCAAATAGGAGGCCTGACACTATTGTTTTCAATACTGGAGGAGAAAAAGAAGCCCAAAGCACAAAAGAAATGATAATATTATTGCTGAACTTTAATAGGGTTACAAACACAAACTCTTGACCAAAGAAAAATAACAGCAATACAAACACGGGAGACCCTAGGGTGGCAGTGATAGTGGTGGACAGCGGCTGGGCACTCGTTCAGAAACCTTGGAATGGTTGCTGTAGTGATTGTAGGAGTTCAGCAAAGGACATGTTGGGGAGGCTTACGAGATTTGGTGTTAGAAAGGCTGCAGGAAAATTAATTAAGGGAATTAAGGGGCAGGTTGGGTTCACGGGAGGTGAATGAAGAATTGTTGTGGGGTTTCACGGGAGGGGCAGGAAGCGGGAAGAGTAGCAGGTTAATCGGTTGTGAATGGCATAGAGGGACTAGGAAAGATTTGGGGTTACGGTATGGAGGAAAAGAGGGGCGGGCGGCTGGGATCAGAGGAGGGGGAGGACGGTAGCAAGTGGGTAGGATAGAGTCAATGTGAAAATGCGGTTGGGATTGGAGCCAAGTAGTATGTGGGCGAGGAGGCAACCGACTGTAGGTGGGAATTTGTGGGGGAGAGTGATTGGTAGCAAGGAAAGGACGTGGAAGTGGAAGTCGGAGAAGATAAATCATCTCATGGGAGAGGGATACAAAGAGCACCACCCTAAACTGTCGGATACAAACCTCAAGGGGAAAATAGGATGCTGACGGCTGACCACTCAAATTTGAAATCAGAAAAAGCATAAACTGAAAACCTAGACAACAAACACTTATAAATAGGAGATAGATAGACGGGAAACGAAAACAGAAAGGGGGAAAATTTCCTGCATAATGAAAAGAGGGGAGGAGAGGCCGGTTCAACCCCTTCTCTCAACTGAACCGGTTCGGGCCAAACTAGTTCAGCTTTTGGAGGAAAATTTTCGTGTCACTAAGTCTCGGGGATTCAATCTATTGAAAAGAACGAGGATCTTTCGAGCATGATCAAAATGAGTGTAATAAAAATACCCATGATGTTTAGAACCATCATTATGAAAGGCAACAACAAAAGAATAGCCGCGACTACAAGTACGACCTTTGGAAGCCACTAACTCAAACCACCCACTACCAAGGTTTGATGACAACATCGATGAGATATTCACATGATTTTGAAAAATCGGACCAAACATTGGACCGAAGAAAAGAAAGGTTCACGTTTATTGGTTCGATTGAGGTTGACTTGGGGATTGTATCGGATGACTTAATAACTAATAAATGGAAAAACAATTAAATATGACCTAAATAATGCAATAATGATGTAATAATGCAAATATACAACAAGCCTTTATCCTACTAAGCGGGGTAGGCTGCACAAATAATTTTTTTTCAGTGTGCTCTATTGTCATATTTTCATTTAATTTTAATAAATTAAGATAATTTTTAATACAACATATCAAAATATAAATCATTTTTATACATGTCAAGTTTTTTTTGGTCTACTTTCACATTTTTTAACATAAGTCGAATCTAAAACATCTACTCTCATAACTGGATCATCAGATGGTCAACATTTAATGTGACCAAATAATCTAAGACGACTCTCAATCTAAGACGACTCTCTCAGACGACTCTCTCTAATCTTGTTTGCCATTGTTGCTACACCAACCATTTCATAGATATATTCATTTCACATTTTGTCTCTAAGTCTAAAGCCACTCATCCACCCAAACATACTCATCTCAGCAACAACTAAGTTAGTTTTACGTTTCTCATTTATAGGCCAACATTCTATGCCATAAAGCATTGCAGGTCTCACCGCCATCTTTTAAAATTTTCCCTCAAGTTTAAGTGGCACTTTTCTATCACACAATAGGCCCGATGCATTTTTGGTCAACATAACCAAACATGTAGCGTGTAGACCTACTAGTTAATGTGTGGCATCATCATGGCCACAACAAGAGCTAGATCTACTACTTCCCATGAAGTTAATGAGAAGAATTGCCGCTGCATTAACCTTTGTTGTCGCGACCACACATACAGTCAATATGGGTTAGTCCCTTCTTCACTGTATTTATAGGCAACATTACATAATTCTAGTAAAGCATTTACACTTCAATTATGATCTGCCATCTTGATTGTTTTGCTTGCTCGACCAGCCCTCTCTTGTTGATCAAAGTCAAGAACCTCTTCGAACATCTCTCCGAATGGGCCAAGTGCCCCATTTATTGTCGTAATTTTCACCTTATTCTTTATTTTCAGAAATTCTCCCAACAAAGCAATCTTGTGATTTTTGGAATTTACAACATTGACCTTCATCACTCCCGAGTGCCACGGCATGGCAAACAACTTTTTCAGGGATTCACCATGGAGCAGTTGCATTAACTCGGTGACCTCTGCCAATGACCAATAAAAGAGCCCCCCCTAAGGTCTTTAGGAATTCCACACCACTGCTTTTGACAGTTCCATTGCTTTCTTTGGAGGGCACTCTTGAAGGGTCATCTTTAAAGTTTGTTTTTCTTCTTCTCACACATCGTTGCTATAAAGTGAAAGATCTCATCGAAGCAATGAAGAACGAAAGCCTGAAAGGAATAATTATTATTACAAAAACGAGTAATTAAAAAGCGTGTAGGCATGAAAATGAACAGTTAGTCTTTTTGGAGCCCTATTTATTGAAGGGTTAAATGAAGGAAAAAGTAAACTGCTCAAATTTTCAAACCTTGCTATAGATTCCCACATTAAGTTTTGCTGGAAATGTAATCAACCTTCAAAGTGTGATCAGTTACTTAAAATGAAATGATTTTGATGGATATATAATCAATTTTGGTTAATTAGAATGCAATGGAGTCTTTATTCAATCACCTTTAGTATTTCCAACTGAATCTAAAGAAATTTTAAGTAAAATCTATCTCCTCATTGTGTCATTATGATCATTCGGTGTATTTCAACATCTAAGATGATGTGATGTCTACTTATATTCTATAAGAGTAAAGTGTCAAAATAGTTCTTTGACTCTTTATATGGAGTCATTTTAATCCCAGTGTTTATAAAAGTGTTGAATTAATCCCCATAATATTTTGATATTTTCTGTAAGAGTCCCCAGAAAGGACTATTTTAGCTCCCTTCAAGAGAATCTGGGACTAAGCATACACATTTGTAGGCTCTAGGACTAAAATGACCCCGGAATAAAGTCGGGAATTTTTTGACACTTTTCTCTATCCCATAATGTTAAAGCCACCATTAAACATTGATTGTGTTTTGCTCTTAATATGATCCATTTCAGCCATACTTCATTGGCAACTTTCTAATTAAGGCATCATTGAGCATATAGATGGAATAAAAACAAAGTGATTTGCAAAATCTAAAGTACTTTACAAATTTAATTGAAGTGCTGATGGTCCCCACTTTTTCAGGTGAAGGAACTCAATGGCTAAATGCAATTGAGAATTGCTCATTGGAGTTAACAAGTGATGTATTTCTTAACTTGCATGCTCATGGAATGCTTTGTCTACCTTCTGGTGAATGTTTGTGCCCTGATGCAACCTTGTGCACAACATTGACAAGCGCACTTTACTCTTCTGTCGGTGAAGAAGAAGCGTTAAAACGGCAATTAATGGTAATTTTTTTTTTATAGCTTTTCAGTCTGTTATCTAGAATTTTATAATATTTTTTTTAAATATTAAAAAATGATTTTAATATTCAGGAAATATATCAATTACCATATGCATGCATCATTGTTTGCGTTGATAGTGGCTTGTATGCTGTGCAGTGAAAACAAGCTTGCTTTTTGCAGATGCATGAATGTTTATTCCAACAGTATTATTTTTGAAATTGCATGGGCATGCATGTTTTGTGAAACCAAATTGCACCTGCACTTCAACAGTAAAATATTTTTAAAATGAATACGAAATAATTCATATTCTCAAAAAAAAAAAGAAGAAGAAATAGTTAGGTTTAGCGGTTTAGCATGATAAAAATGTAAAATAATTAATTAAACTATGTTAAAATAGAAATATTTATCTGAGAAAACCTTATCTTTATTAACCCTTGGTTTCTGCTTTTATCGTGCTATCAGTGAAGTGTTTCTGGCATAATTAACTTGTATTTTAAGCTTGAAATATTATCTTCTATTTCAGTTATGTTGATATAGTTCGGTCTGGGCTTCTTTATTTAATGTTATCTAAAAAAATTGCAGACTTTCCTCTTTATTTTATTCCTTTCTGCAATAAATTTTTAGCTAGTGGTTACCTTTTTTTTTTAGTGAAATTTCGGATAAAAACTATAACATGTTAAATTTATTTCTATCATTGACTGCTTTATGTCTAAGTTTAGATTTAAATCTAATCATTCTAAAAGAAACCATGTATGCCTATCAGTGTAAATAAGTTATTAAGAAAATGTTGGATGGAAATGTTGTTTCTGAGATAAAAAGATAATAAAAAGCCTAGAATATTGGAGTAATCAGACGTCTGTTATCATAATTACTAAAGATTTGCAATATTTTGACAGGTCAATGTTTCCGTCTCCCTCACAAATAATTATTGTGTTGAAGTCGCCCTTCGCTGCTTAGCTATAGAAGGTGACGGGCTTGGGCTACACGAATCAAATGATGGCGGTCTTCTTGCGACTGTCATGGCAGCTGGATTCAAGGGTATTCAAATTTATTTTCCAGGGCATTTACACACATACCACTATATAAATAAATAAATAAAAAAATATATACATATATATATATTTGGAGTTATATATATATATATATATACATACATACATATCACATGAAAAATACCACTATATTAACTTTGAAGAAGTGAATTACTGCCCCTTTTCATGCCTGGGTAATATCATTAACTACAGAACTTCTGCTTTAGGCGAATTGGCACATTTCCAGGCCGGAGTCTCATTGGATATTTCCCGCATAGACGCATGGTATTCCGATAGTGCTGGCTCATTCCAAATACCTGCTACATATATTGTTCGAGGGCTCTGTCGAAAATGCTGCTTACCAGAAATTATTCTACGTTGCATGCAGGTAATGGAAGTTTAAACTGAAGTTTCAATGTAAGAAATTGAAATTTTACGTGGGGTTGTTTGGTACAGCTGTAGCTTTTTGTAAATGTGGTTATAAAATCATGATGGGGAAGATAACTTCTTAGAAAACTGTAGTTTGACTTATAAATATTTACGTTTTCTAAGAAATGAGATAGCAGTTTTCTTACCACCACCATACTTTATAAATATAGTTAAAAAAAGCATTTTTTTCACCGGAGAAAATTCTAAACGAAAACAAAAAAAAAAAAGTTATCTGAACAGAATTATGGTGACGGTTTGAAACTCTAAGCAGACAGAAAGCTTTGCCAAAAATGCTTTAATATATTCAGCGAAGCAGAAATGCACTACAAATTACAGTTTCATTGTGTGTAGGTCTCAGTTTCACTTGCTGAATCAGGGGAAACTAATGATCATCATGATGAGTTAATTGAACTAGTTGCTTCTGGAATGTTGAGCTTGTTTAGCCAGCAACAACTACAGGTTTGTGAAGAAAAAAAGTTACAAAAATAAAGAAAATAAAAACAACTACAGATTTTTTATGAATGTTGTTGTTCTTTGTGAATTTTTTTTCATATTCCTTTTTTTTTTCAGCTCATATTGTTTGATGGTTCTCTTTCTTTAGGAGTTTCTGTTGTTCGAAAGACACTGCAGCTTATATAAAATGGAATTAGGGGAAGAGCCATCTGCTGCTGATGATTGAACAAAGAATTGTTAACCTTCTGGTAATCTAATTCTTAAAAAAATTAATGTAATCTTTTTTCTAATTTGAAAGTTATGATTTATTAAATTGTTTAAAACATTATTTGATTGAAATTAGTGTTTTTCCCAAGCATTCTTCTCCTTTTGTCTGTCTGGACCTTGCTCCCTCTTGACCTCTGCAGTATTTTTTTTCTTCTTTTTATTTAGAAAGAAAAGCGATTCAGTTAACCCACTTGAAATATGAATCTTCACTAAACGAAATATTATTCTGTGATTGCTAATTTTTACATGTTATGTGATTTCTAATTTTTACATGTTTTGTGATTTCATTGATTTCATTTTGTGGCATTTTTATTATGTGTTTACATATCTCACAACAAAACTTTAATATTTACACACATAGGATTCAAATCTTTGATATCACATAAAAAATATAACACTATTATCACTTTTTAAAGCACCAAAATGATATACATGTAAATATGAAAGTTGAAATGTGAGATACATAACTACACAGGAATTGTGTGCTACATATGCAAATTTCTCTTTCATTTTACATGCAACAAGCATAGCATTACATGTATTTTAATCAGGAAATATGTCACCTCTATGCCATGCTTATGGTTTAGGATTTAGTGTTTAGACTTTAAATTGGAGTGAAAATTCAATGAAATGTTACCTTTGTATTGTACATCTGTTGTTAATGATAGTTGCGTATTTTTGCTCTAAAAGTAAATGCCTGGATTACTTCACTTTGCTGAGTTGATGACAACTCGACATTATGTCCTGTCGGCGCGAATTGATCGTCTTGATGCATAAGCACCCGCTCTAGTCGACAGGCCGACCAATAAAAGTTATTTCAATACTAAAGTGGACAGCACTCTCCCAAACAAACTTGGTTGGTGTAAATGGGATCCAAATAATTTTATAGTTTTTTCGGGCGTGGTGAAGCATTAGTCTTCTTCACATGAGCTTATGGAAGATTTACATACATATGACACAGTTCCTATCTATTTTCATATCTAACAGGCCAACTTTTGTGTTTTACATTTATACAATTCTATTTATCTTTAAGGTGTAATTCATTTATTAAAAGTTGAGAGCATTGATATTTTTCATGTTTTGTTTACTTGATTTAGGTGGTCGCAAACAACATTTGCAACTGTGCATAGTCTTCGCCCTTGGCTTCACTTATTTTTTTCCTATTATTATTATTATTTTGCTGTTTTAATTTTTGAACAAATTGTCAAATTTTATGTTTTATGGATTTATCTGTTGATTGTCATTTGCTTTTTCTTTTATTTCTGAATCAAGCAGAGTTTTTTTATAAACAACAGATTGAACTTATTACATGATAGAGCGTACATCATTATTGTTATTATTGGAATATTTAGATTCATATTACACAATTCTTATGAATTTACATATCTAACACCTAAAGTTTGATATTTACATTTATAACATGTGTGAACGTATGAATGAAAGTTGTATATTTTCACTTTTAGAAGTATAAGAAAGGTGATGTTTCTGATGATATTTCTGATGTGTTGTAAATAACAACTTTTGAATGCTACGACTGCAATTGCCACTTCAAATTTTGTCTATTCACAAGATAAATGTGTAATATATCAATTAATGGTTATTTCATTATAACATAACAATTTCTATGCATGCTTGCATATTCAAATTAACATTTTGGCATTTCACAAGCTTGCTCGCAAAGTTGCGGAGGAGCAAAATTGGAGATAAGTCGAATACACTTAAAATACATCTCAAGTATACCAATTCACAAAAAATGAACTTTGAATATTACATAAGTACCCAACTATTAAATGTAATAACAACAAATATCCACCATAAAGAACAAAGCATGTATGAGATATAACTTCATGTGATAAAAGCAATAAATCCTTCCTCTTCCTAGTACAAGAGCATGATAAGCACAACATTTTCATCCGCAAACTTTTCATAAATATCATTTCTATAGGCTTTAAGTTACATACCCTTAAAAGTGTGTATAAACCACACAATGAAAGATTACAAGAGTTTTGCTTGGCTTTCTCCCACCAATCCTTCCTTTTTCTTGCTCTCACTTTTTTTCCTAATAATAATCTCTTTCCTCTACCAACTAAAAACATTTGAACCATATTCAATCTCACTCATGCTGAAAAACCCAAATTAAAACCATCTCTCTCTCTCTCTCTCTCTCTCCTCTCTTTCAAATAAAAAAGCCTGCCTAACCTCTACATTTTGTGTTTAGGGCTTTTTCAAAAAAAATATAATAATAATAAATTGTGTTTTACAATCTGACTTAATTAAGTGGGTAGATGAAAGAAATCTGCGATTGGAAAATAAAATTTATAATAAACTTCGTAACTTTTTGAACAATTTCTTTTTCACCAGCTTTATAGCCACTTCATCAAACATACCGTAAACCCTTATTCCCATCTTTCTCTTCCAATGCTCTCATACAAAACCTATTTTACATGGCTAAAATTCAGATATCTACAAGGTCAACCTCTTCTTTCACGCAAAGCCATTCTGCACTGTCATCATGCAAGAAATCACATTTAGAAAATCTAAACAGGGCAATGATCTCTAATTAAGACAAAGTAAGACAAAATAGACATTTAGGTTTGGGAAATTTACATGCGTACCACCCAATGCTTATATGTATTTACATATCTAACACCTCAACTTTACTTCATACATCTATACCAACCATCCAAATCCTTCAAATCAAATCCAAAACATCACTATGTTTTGCTTTTAAAAAGTGAAATACACATTTTCATGCATAGCTAGATAACATATAGATAACAATTGAAGTTTAGGTGTTAGATATGTAAATACATAAGAAATCATTTTCATGCATAGCTAGTATGTACATACAGATCACTCAAATCTTCAATATAAAATCAGAAATAAGACTATTATCTACCTTTGAAAGTGAAATACACCTTTCCATGCATAGATTTTTGTAAATATGAAAGTTCAGGAGCGAGAAATGTAAATACCTAGGCTTGTGTGCTAGTATGTATAATTACATGTTTGAATATAATTACTTGACTAACCCTGACATTAAAAGTGCAATTACCGGTTTCTCGGCTACTTTTTCAGAAAGTATTGCCCATCCCTCATATCTAACTTCTCTTCCGCTATAAGCATGGATAAAAAGCTTTGTAGTTGTTGAAGCGACTTGTCATATGTTGGCTCGGCGACACAAAACATCTGAAACATAATTTCAAGAACAATTTCACAGATCAAATTGTACGAAGACGATGAAGAACTTGCGAAATTCCCTCAGGATAGTAAGCACTTCACCTTCAGTGTGTTATGTATTCTATCCAGAGTCATGCCACCAAAGTTTGTTAGCATCCCTTCGATAAATTTCTGCAAAAAAATGAAGGTTGATTATATGAATATTTCTTTTAAACCTTTTTAAGTTTTGTAGCTGTTCAAGAAGAATATTATTATTATTTAATCAACCAAAACACTCAAAGACTTTGAGGGATGTCAAGCAAGCGCTATATAATAAAGCACAGAGTCTAGATTGCCAGTATGCAAAGGCTATCACAACACTAGAAAGTATATATAATAAAAATAGGGGTAATTATATACAGACCACCCAAAATATTTACAAATTAACCACCCAGGTGAGTTTTTTGAACTATCGTTACGCGTTCCACGATCGAACTATTGAGAATTTGATAAAAATAAAAAATATGGGTTGGGGTTTGAGTGAGACTTAGAAACCACTCAAAGACTTTGAGGGATGTCAAGCAAGCGCTATATAATAAAGCACAGAGTCTAGATTGCCAGTATGCAAAGGCTATCACAACACTAGAAAGTATATATAATAAAAATAGGGGTAATTATATACAGACCACCCAAAATATTTACAAATTAACCACCCAGGTGAGTTTTTTGAACTATCGTTACGCATTCCACGATCGAACTATTGAGAATTTGATAAAAATAAAAAATATGGGTTGGGGTTTGAGTGAGACTTAGAAACATGTATGAAATAGGATGGTTGACTTGTAAATAGCAAGTTTCGGGTGGTCTGTATGTAAATATCGAATGCATTATGACATGTAATTCTATGGATTACCTTGTAAATCTCCATTCCCAAAAATTCCACATCAATCAATTTCAAACACAAATACTAAATTTGCTCCTAGAAAAAGAGCGAAATCAACCTCAATAACAAGCATTCTTCTGCGAGCAGGTGGAGAGATTGCACCTATATTAAGTCTTGACCTCAGATTTAAAAAAATCTTGATTTAACTATAGGAGAAATCTGATTTAAAACATAAATAATAATAATAAATATATCCTAGGAGAAAAATTCCTCATAAATTCTCATTATATCGAATAGGCCCGGGTGTAAGTGGCGACTTTTCCAGAGTACTCATTCCAAATGGTACAAAGATTACAAGGATTATTTGCAAAAACCTTGACGCGATTGAACGACAAAGCCTTTAAAAAGCCAAAATGAAAATATAAAGGCGCAGAAGAGAAGAGAAGAGAACTAATGCCAATTCGGAATGAGAGAAGAAGACAGAACACGTCATAAGAGAAAGAAGTCATGAAAACTGCCATAATATACAACGCAAAAACTAAAGTTCACAAATGCAATTTAGAATGATACGCATGATGAAAACACTTAAAAAAAAGCATAATTTGTTAGCAGGTTGTAATTTCTACAAAGACACATTCAAATAATAATTTGAAGTAATCTGAAATTTCGTAGAACCGCAATTCTGCAATTGATCTAAATTAGCACTGAAAAAGGAAAAACAACACATATAACACAGTTAACAAAACTCCAATCATGCATGCACACTAAAACAAAAAGAAAAGAGAGATGAAGCGATACCGGAGAAGAGCCCAAATCAAAATAAAAATAGAAATATTATTGCAGAAATTTAATAGGGTTACAAAACAGATTTTTTAAAATAAGAAAAATAACAGCACACACAAGACTAGGGCGTAAGTTGGAGAGGGGGTGCTGCAGTTTGAGTGGAACCAAAAGGTTATTGCGGGTGTAGGGTGGCAGGAGGGCCAACTGAAAATCAGTTGGTAGGATAGCAGCTGGTATGGGGGGTTTACAGCATCAAGGAAGGGATGATAGCTTGCTATGGTGTGGAGAAAGGTTGGTAAAGCAGTTACAGTGGGCAGGATGCCGGCTGGGAGCAGTGGCAGAAAGAAATAGCGACGGTCCAGCATGAAACGATGGTGAAGATCAGCGGCCCAACAAGATTACACGGGAATATCTTGGCGGCTGAGGGACAGGTAAGCCGTGAAGTTTAATACCACAGTAAGATATGGAGTAGTGGGATTTATGTCCCAGCAGAGCAGGAGAGGCGACGAGAAAACCAGTGGAAGGGGACTGCGGTAACAGTGGCAGCAAGTTGGAAAAGTAGGCTGGGAGGATGGCGGCAAGCAGGAAGCCGCGAGCAGGTGAGGTGTTGGCGGCAGCGGAGGGAGGTTGCGGGGATGGGGAAGTTGAGGACAAACAACACCTAAGATCAAGATACAATCGCTGGAGCACCATTCGTCCTCAGATACAGCCCTAGGAAGTGAGAAGGGGATGCCGGCTGTCCTCACTAACTGAAACAGAAAATAACATAAACTGAAAACCTGTAGAGCAAACACACATATAAATTGGAAATAGATGGGCAGGAAATGAAAACAGAAAAGGAGGCCGGTTCAGCCTTTAGTGGTATGTATGTAAATCTTTAAATGTGTAAATACATAAGAATTTAGTGGTATGCGTATAATTCTTCCTTAAAAAAAAAGTCTTAACCACTGAGACGAAAGAATGGACTACCATGAAAGATGGAAGAAAGTTCCTGAACCTCTATCTTGAAAACTGAAGGACAAAAATAAAAAACCTAACAAAAGAATCAACAAGATAAAACTATGAGGCAGAAAATTACGACAGCATTATGCATTTCACATCATTAAAGTTCTAACCTGATATATGGTCATTTCTTTCTGCACCTGTTCCTCGAATGATGCCATGGAGCTTTCTCCTTCTTCATCCATTCCTTCAGTTTCATTGGAAATATCGTGTCTGTTTGCATCGGTGACATCATCAGCAAGGGTAAAGACACGATCATTAGAGTTTGTTCCTCCGGAATCTCTAATCACACCCTAAAAAAATGAGAAAGAAATAAACAGATAGCTGTAAGTTTCAGAGATTTGATGCCTATCTAGAAAGTTTGATCAAGGGAAAAAGTTGATTTATAAATTGAGCAAAACATTAGAGTTAGAGAGAGAAAAAAGGGAGATTTTTCATGTAACTTTTATGATTCTTTTCAGGTAGCCACCTAAGTCACCAACTTTCACAGCCATATTAACTACAGGTTAGTAGTTTGTGGAACCAAGATTATCGCACTTAGAATACAGAAAAGGGAAATTTACATACATACTACACAACACTTATATATTTAAATATCTAACACCTAGTTTGATATTTACAGTTCTAAAATGTGTCATAAATCTATGCAAGAAAATGCGTATTCCACTTTTAGAAAGTTAGTGATAGTGGTACTTGTTTTGTGATGCTAAAGATTTGGTGTTCAAGCAAATATGAATGTATAGGTGTTAGATATTAAAACACATATGAATTGTGTGGCATGTATGTAAATGCCTCAAATAATAACTATTTATTAAGACTGGCTAATGCAGGCATGAGGCGTGGATCTCCAGCATTCCAGACGCCTAGACCGACCAAGCCAGGCATGGGAGAGCCGATTGGCTCTTCCACAAGGATTTGACATCTCCTTTCAATAGAACGGCCTAACCCTAATTATCTAGACCTTAGATATTTGATTCTTATGCTTTAGATTTTCAATTTTTGTATATATTTTTTGTCAGGATAACCATCGGCATCTCTCGTGTTCCATTTGAGAGTTGAATCCAATGGCAAGTGGTGCTCCCGTTGTATCCCGTTTTGAGCCGGTGATTTTCATCACTTTCCCATCCCACGCAACCTTTCCTCCGCTGTCTTCTCCACTGCATTTACTGTCGCGACTGAAAAACAGCCTCTTTTGCTCTTTTACTCCCGCCGCGTACCCTCCCACTACCTACCCTCCCGCTGCCTACTACCTTGCGGAACAGCCGATCCTAACTTGTTGCCAACCCCTTCCGGCAGCCTGCCACCTTGCTGCCACCCCTTCTGAACCTCTACCTCCCTACCACAGCCACTAACACAGCCCTTCCTGCCATCCCTACCATCCAACCAATCCCAGCTTGAAGATTTTCGGCCATCCAGCCCACCATAACCATTACTTAACCCTTAAACCGCAGCACCACCTCCCTCGCCCTAAGCCCTAGTTTGAGTTTGAGCTTGTGTTGTGTCATTTGTTATTTCCTACTCCCGTGTACTAACCTTTATTTGATTTCAGCCATAAAATTTGTGTTTCCCATTGCTGTTTGGGTTAACACGGGTATAACCAACTGGTGAGCTTGAGCCTCATCAAACTAAACCAATATTTTTTAATCCCCTACGCAAATACTTCAACCACTCAAAAGCAGAAAATGAACCTTTTTGCATTTGGATAGTGAGAATGATGTTAATAACAAAATAAAAAAATAATCAGAACAAATAATAGGTAAGTTTGAAAAAAAAAAAAAAGCTTTATATAACAGCTTTATATAACTCACCATAAATAACTCACCATAAATAAGACTTTTTACATGTACCTGATTCAAACACCGGCCAATACAGATGACGCTCAATAAAGATAGCAAAGAAAAGGTTGATAATAATACATTCTAATTAAGTGTCAAAATGGCCCCAGACATTTTACATGTGATCATTTTAGTCTCAGAGTTTATTAAGGTATCAATTTAGTCTATAATTTTTTAATATAGACTGAAATAACTTACACGAGGGACTATTTTAGGCCCAATTGAAAAAATATGGGGCCTAATTTGGGACCTTTATAGACTTTTAAGACTAAAATGACCCCATGTAAACAATCAGGGGGAAAAATTACACTTCTAATTAATAACTATGCTTATACAAAGTCCAACGTAGATTGTAATCTTCAATATCCATTTAGCGAAATAAAGCAAAATTGTAGAACAGTAGGAGAAAGCTCATCTCCAAGTGCCCCATAAGAGCAAGACACAATTCCTTTCTGCTAGATCGAAAAACGTGTTAATCCTAATTAAAACTTTGAGCTTGGTTGGTCAGACCACATGCCAAAGAATAAAAAGCATAGAACTATGTAAAAAAAAACCGAGGCACAGAAGATTTGAAGAAACAAGAAATGCATCTGTCCAGAAGTAGTAGTGGCTAAAACGTTAAGTTCAAGCCTTGGTAAAAATCCTGGTTTAGTAAAGTGTAAACAGGAAAATTATGAGAAATTTGCACCTTCCAAATGCATTTAAATGTATACCCGGATCATTCATTTCCTTGGGGCACAGAGTTTCCGTGTTTCAAATTGAATACAAATATTTTAAAAACAATAGAAATTTACATAAATATCACACAATTCTTATGCTTTTATGTATCTAAAACCTAAAGTTTGACATTTATATTTATAACACATAGGTAGTAAAAATCTAAGCATGAAAAGGTGTATTTCACTTTTAAAATGTTAGTGATAGTGATATTTTATGTGATGTCAAAGATTTAAGTGTTATGTAAGTAAATATGAAATTTTAGGTGTTAGATGTGTAAATATATAAGTTTTGTGTAGTATGTATTTGAATTTTCCTAAAAACAAATACATTCAAGTTTAAGCTAGGGTTGTTCTAAGTCTCCACCACCATAGAATGGAGTGAACTGTAGCAAGAACCAAAAATAAAGAAAGATTTACAAATCTAAGATCTAAACTTCAATTTTTACATATATGCCACCTTAACTATGCATGGAAAGTAATAATGGCATTTTTGATACGATGTTAAAAATTTGAGCGATATAAATGCAAAAGGTAAAGCTTAAGTGTTACACATAAGAATTGGGTGGCATGTATTTAAATGCCCCAAGAATAAGACAAGTAGGTAAACCTGAGTGCGTATGCTAGCTTCAGAAGTACTTAACAGCCATACCTTACCTATCCAAAAACTCATTCTTCTGTTGAGAACATCCACAGGTAACCCAACAGCAGCCGCGAGGCTTTCAGAAACCCAGCTGCAAAAAATTAATTATGTTAAAAGAGGATTAACAAAAATGCCACATCCAGTATTTCAAATTGCTTACCTAGTTTTCTCCTGAAATTGCATGATAATTGCTGCATGTAATGGAGTGACGCTGAATTCCACATTTCGATCATCAAACTGCAATTCTAGCTAAATTTGCAGAAATGTATGAGGTCAAGAAAGGAAATGATTGACATGTTACCAAAAAGGCATTAATTGTTCAGCAGGGAAATGTTTTCTGGAATTGGACCGATCATAAAAAGTGCCATAATGACTAACCTTTACGGTACCAAGATATTTCTTCCATAATAGCTTACGAGGAGCTTTGATTTCGTGAAACTTCTCGGCATAATCTGAAAGAATTTGTTCTACAGGCAAAGGAAGATGAAGCGATTCTTCCTGAAAAAAAGATCAAACAGGCCAATGAAACTAGTAAATCCACAACTCATTATTCATGAGAACAAACAAGCCTACTTTCAGTTTAAAATATATCAATATAAAATATACTTATAATACTACAATTTAAAGACTTAATGCAGTGCCATCAGTTTAGACGTATTCAGTTTCTTTTTATCTATTTAAAATTTTTAAATTCATTTGAAATGTAATAAGGATAAGAAAGCCTAATAGAATTCTTGAATCCTTAATTTTCTTGCCTTGAGATCTTACGAATTTGATATCAATAGCCTCAAAATTCACTAAATGGTATTCTTAAAACCTAAATTGTCCTTCAACTAAAACAAGCCTCGAGAGTTGGAGCCAGGAGGAGAGTAGGAGAGAGAGAGGGGGACCAACAAAGAATTATTATGAGAAGAGTTGGGGGGGGGGGGGTGGATTCCCTTTTTTTAAAAGGTTATAAAAGGCTTCTTCGTACAATCATAAAAAGGAAGCGATTATAGAAATCGCCTTTAATTACCAGAATGCGAGAGTGATTACCTAAATACAATCAATGCGCTAATTTAATACAAGATTCTTGTTCTCATTTAAGTTTAATACAACAGTCATGAGCAGATCGATACATTTAGTTTGGTCAACTAGGTTGACCGGTTACATGACAATCGTTCCTGCTGAGGAAAAGCTAATCGATTGACTACTTGTGATTGAGCGCCCCTAGAAGAAACTTGGGTAGTTGAGACCGTAAGCGCGGTCCGTCAATTGAATCTTTCGATAGTGTGGGTCTGCTGACCCAATGGAGCGGTCAATCGTAGGACGATTGGTTCAGATCGTGATCCCTCAACCTGTCGTTTTGATTTCTCGGATGTTGTCCTTAGCCGTTGATCCCATTCCTGTCTATATGCAACAGTATAACAGTGACTTTAATTATAATTTTCACTTATATTTCTCACTTATATTTCTTTACTTATATTTCTTTATTTTACAACATTGCCAAAAATTTGATCTTGAAGAAAATAAGAATTTAACTTTTCAACTTATATATATTGGGACATAAATATCGTTATCAAGTAATATGAGACTTTTTGATTAAGACCTGAATATCGAACCCACAGGGAGAATACGCAATATGCACTTTTGAACAACAATTTTATATTCTAAAAATACAATTACTTAAACTATAAATATTTTTGCAGTATTAAAATTCAAATCTATTTGATAGTTTTGATTTATTGACAGAACAATAACAATTTTAAAAGATAACTTGAGTTTATGTAAAAGAAAAATACTAAATTTGAAAAATATCTTTCTCCTTATCATGAATCAGTAATAAGTATAGGAATTCTGTCGTGGAAGTATGCAAATTGTGTTGTGTGAAATAGGAGCAATTATATTATTTACCCTTACTAGAGATGTTAATTTAAAGTTTGTTGGTCGTGTGATCAATATGTTTGCATTGCATAGTTTTCCTTTCTCGCTCAAGCAATTCAGATATAACAAACGTTAACGATGGATCGTCCTACTCTAATGCTGCTAGAATCCAGGGTTCAAATCGAGAAGTTGGTTGCGATCCGACCAAGAGGAGTTCCCCGAGTGTTGGATGGGCCTGTGCATTATGCGAACAAAATTAGAGAATTATTATTTATAATATACCCACTAAATTTACAAATTGGTGACGATACATCCTTTTATGTTTACATAAAATATTTTCAAGGAAAAAAACTCTTCAAGTCAACTCCAAGGGCCCAACTAGCAGACTGACTGTCCTTGGGTGGTCAGGTCGACTTTCTACAGAATTAAGTTCCCTGGGGAAATCGAATGTGTTTGTTGAAGTACCGAGCCGCCCATCTTTTGACCTCTTCCTGTCAAAGGGCCAACTCGGTTCGCTTTTCTTCCGCTTGATCAAGGGCCAATATTGTACCTTTGATGTTTGTTTCTTCCTATTCGGCCAGGTTCTCCTTTGCGAATGGCACGGCCATGACGAAACTTCGATTATGATGGTTGTACTCAACTGGTAACACTGCCTACATTCCATGAGTTAGCATGAAGGGCGTTTGGTTGGTCGCCGTTAACGACGCCGTCCGAATCGCCTAAGGCACAAACGTAGTAGATCCACCCAGTTCCCTTGGCTCCTTAGACTTTCTCCCTTAACAAGTTCAAAATTATCTTGTTGGGTGCTTCAGCTTGCCCATTTGTCCAGGGGTGATGGACCGAAGCAAAACACAAATCAATGCCCTGAAGTGATGGAGTTTCACACCATTTCAGCAGTGATCTAAGCGAGAGGTTTAGCTTTGATCCACCTAGAAAAGTAGTCAAGCGTCTCTATAAGGAACTTACGTTGGCCTTTAGATGGAGGAAAAGGACCAAGGATGTCATGGAGTAAATGAAGTTCTTAGATGTTTTCACAACAAATTTTAACATCTGGATTGGTCAAATCAAGAAGTAAATGAAGTTCATGAATTTAAATCATCACAACTTCTTTCAACATTAAAGATCAATACTCTCCACAACTTCGATCCAAACTTTAATTACTTATCATTTTAAAGAGAAAGATAAAAAAACTACTCATAATTCATGGAGAAAACAAAACCATTTTAGTTTAAAAGTAAAAATTATTGTCAAACCAACAAGAAGTTTCGATTAAAACCAAATATAACTTAAAACAAAAGATAAAAATTTATCTCAAATCTTCCACCAAACTCTTGAAGTTCCTTTGAATCTTTTTTCTTTTACAACACTCAACTCTCGAAATAAAACTAAAAACAAAAGAAAAAAGTAAATTTTGTGGTGCTTGAATCTCTCCACAAGATTCTCCACGATCTACTTCTCAAAACTCCAGCACTCTCTCCCTCTTCAAGCACCAACTTCAAATGTAAAAACGTCCTTTTATAAATCTCCAAATGGTGTCTTGAAAACTCTTCAAAATGTGTCCACATTCGATGAATCCTCCAAAGGATGTCTTTTTTCACAAGTCTTTTAATAATATTTTCGTTTTCAGTGATCAAAACAACCCTCTTAACCCAATAGGTGCCTCAAATACCTCTTCAAAATTCGGCCAAATGAAGAAAACCGCCAAATAACTGTCTCTGGCGCTTAGGCGCGAACTTCTTTGTTTAATCGGCGCTTAGGCGACAAAACACTTTAGCACAATTTTCAACTATTTGCTCCAAATTTGATCATTTTTCACTCTTTTAAGCATTTTCACCTTTTTACTTATAACTAAAAGAAAAACACACAAATACCTTCCATTAAAGCGCAATATCTCAAAAATAGGTATAAAAATGTGTCTAAAAATACTATATATTTTAGGTGTATCAGCCGCCTGATTGTTTTAAGATTCGTGTTAGCAGTTTTGGCGTATACATATTAATTTCCCGAATTTTATTGCTCTTTGATAGTGGCAAATAAGATAATGACAGAGAAATTATTAAACAACCAGTGACACATAAATTAAGAGAATTGATTTGTAATTGACTTCCCTTTGGGTTCCGCGCCCGGTGAGCCCAAAATATAGGGTTGTGGGCTTGGCATGGCGTTCCTTGTTGTCAGCGATCCTCAAACAATTTGAGGGCTCCAATGGCTGAGGGTTTCACACCCTGTTTCCTCAACCTCACCTGCATCGTCATCGGAAGAAGCGACCTCGTCTTTGGGTATCAAAACAACACCTCTAGAAGAAAAAATTATTCGCTGCCGAGGAAAAGAGTTGGTGGATTATAGAGGAGCAGGGAGGCTTCTGAGTGGCATCCGGTACGCGGGGGAGACAAGTGGATGTGGTCTGATGTTGTTAAGTGGTTCAGTCTCTTGGACACGCTGATTGGTTTCCTCACACTGCCAAGAACAAAGGCCACCCTCACTTCTGCTCAGTTTGTTGTGGTCTGAGGGGTTCGATAAGACTTTAGAGGGTCTTAGCTGCCGAGAGCTTGGTGCAAGTGTGGACCGGTTTAACCTGATGGCGGCACGAACCTCTTATTTTCAGGGGCTGGCCTTAGCCAAGTCGGTGAGACCATTGGACGTGGCTCGAAAGAAAGCTGCCTCACTGCAAGCGAAACTGGGGAAAATGTGTGACGGTGGGAACCTCCTGAAACTTAAATCTGACAATGCTCTCAAGAGCCATGAAGAGTCTCTTGCGACTATACAAGCTCTGGAGGGAGAGATCAAGGAGTTGAAAAAGAAAATTGCTTCGTCTGTGTCGAGGAAGAACAAGCAGGACAGCTCAGAAGTGGGGTGGAGTTTGTTGTTAAGAGGTTTATCCATTATGGCCTCATTGACCCCAAATTTTATAATCCATATGAGTTCTCCACTCTGATTCCGGACAAGTTTGAAGAGTCTTCTGAAGAGGACGGTTTGGGCGACGATGATGGATCGGCCTCTCGCTAGCGCTCTGATGCAAAAAAGGACTTAAAAAAAATTAATGAATCAAAAGAAAGATATTTGTATATCTTTTGGGATATATGAGAACCTAGTATTTTTCTTTGATTTGGATTGATTACAATTTGATTTATTGCGAGCTCATCTTGTGAGTTGGTGTCGCGCTAGCCGCGCGACCGACTGAGATAATACGTTAATCTCGTTCAATCAAGTTGTCGCCTCCGGAGAGACTCGTATTTGAGGAAACCTTTAGGACCCACCGCGGATCTTGTTGTTGGCATGTGCTTGATTGCCTCCAAAGCTAAACCCCAAACTTTGGATATCACGTTCCTCTTGGTCGACTCTTAATTCTTCAGGACTTCTTTCTGACTTAGATTGTCGACTGCGAGTTGAATCGTGCTCCCAAACACTTTTTCATAGTGATCGATTAATGCATGTTGACTAATTGGTTGGCATAGGGGACCTAAGTTATCACCGACCCTTGCCCCATTCAATCGATTGCGCCCTTGCCTTGGTCAGGTTTGTTCCTTTTGCTAAGTGCGGTTGTGTCATCACTTGCTAGGGTCACCCTTGGAGACTTATTTCCGAGATGATTTGCACATGCTCTTTTGTAAAGGTGGTGCAAGCAATTAATTGAT